TTGCTTAGGATAAGTTGCTGGCAAGAACAAAGGAGGGAAAGGGCAACATTTAGCTCCCTTTGGTGCTGTGTGGTGCCTCTCCCATCAGGAAATGTGAGGTTGGAAGCACCAGGAGAACAACACTAACTTTCTAGAAGCACTAGGAGAGAAGCAGGGCTTCTCACTATCCACCTGGGGCATGTAGTGGCTTCTCAGATGATTTCCTCTCTCTCTTTTTTGAAGGGGAAGGGCATCTGGTGACCAGAAGTGATATATTACCCTTTTGGGGACTCCATCATCAGCACCACCCTATTCTTCAGCCTCAAAGGTCGGTATCTCTCAGCCAAGTGTTGGATCTTCAGAAGCCTCTTTGCCGATTGCTTGGAAAGGGACTTTGCAAGCTCCACTAACCAGTTGACTGACAGTCCCTGTGCACTGAGTCAGATTTATACCTGCCCCACACCTGATTTCACATAGGACAGCAGGTGTACTGGAGGTAGCATGGGTTGGACACAATGGCCTCACAGGACAAATGGGAAGGCCTAGCAGCTGAATTACACCTGGGGGCCAGATGTTTGCTCCCCACCCTGGTCTAAACTTTGATGATATTATTGCCAGTGTGTGTGTCTTAAGTCTTCCAGCATCCAGCCTTGCAGGCTGCAGTTTGCTGTCCCTGCATGCTAATATATACTAGGTGTAGTGTTTTTATTTATTTATTTAAACAGACCAAATCTTGGGACCATCCACAAAAAAAGAAACTATTATTCTGGAGGTTAAGACTAAGCTGAAATGCACCATAATTTGTCAATGTCAGGCCATGCACGAGATGGCCATTAATCACCTTCAACTGAAAGACAAGTTAGTAAAAATGTGAGTTCCATTACTTTTACAGCGGTATGTGATCCAGGAAGGCATGTTTAGAAACAAACTGGCAAGGAATTCATTGCATATATAGATATATATCCTTGGTGGGATCATGAGCTTCAACGGTGGAGGCAATATCTTAACCGTATCTGGACCCATAATCTGAAGGACATATCAAAGAATAGACATTGAGGCAGGACAGAATAAGCACAGAATAAATCATATTCCTTGTAATGCATTGAAGATGGATTTCCATTGCAATTTATGTAATAAATAAGAAATTTAGAAATTAAAATTTCCATTATCACATAAAAGAAGATTTGTATTTTTGTTGTTGTTGAGGATGTGCTACACAGAAATCACTTGTCGGGCCAAATGAAAAGGGAGCAAATTCTCAGTTACATGGACAGCAAACTACATACAAATGCCAACATTTCATTTTACGTCATGTCAAAATCCAATGAAGCAAAGACGCAAAACATAGCAACGTCATAGCCACCAACAAATCTGAAAGCAAATTCTTCAACACTCTCCTCTCTTGGCCTGATTAAAGTATTTCCCTCCAGGAGGTGGGTGTATGGAAGTAGGATTCCATCTGTGCTAGCCTATCTCTGATGGACTAACAATCTCTTTGGTCATGATTGACTTGATACCTAAATTGCACTTCCGATAATGATAGGCTATCAGCAAATCTCAAACCTGAGAAAGTCCAGAGTAGCTAGTGACAATTCTCTGCTGTGCTGCTGACACCATTTGGCTCTGAGTCAACAAACGACCCTTCCAAAGAGAGAGGGTGGCTGTCCATGTTTCAGTTTGACAATATTAATTGAACACTTCCACCTCCAACACTCAATCGCTAACACAGTACAATTATTATGTGCATTGCCAGTCGTGGCCAAAGGTTAATTGGCACACAAAGGTCCTGCATTAGGATCTAGTTACATTAAAAGACCTCAAATGCAACTTTGCTTCCTTTTCCCACCCTCCTTCTGTAATTGTACAAATGCAAAATGTGTAATGCCAACACAAGTTCTGCAAGAAATAGCAAGGGAGACTTTGAGTGTCTCTGAATGCTCCATGTTTGGAAGGAAGGACTTTGATTCATTAGAAATTCCATTTGGATCAGGGCCACAATTTTGCAGCAGCTCACATGCTTTGTGTGAGTTTAATCCCCCACCATCAAAGGATATGAAGGAGCTGCTGCTGCTGCCATTCAAAGAAAACACTAGTGTTCACTGGCAACCATTGCCATGCTTTCAGGACCAGTGGCACATGGTCCTATCATGCTTCCCCACTTCCCAGATCAGAAGTGGGGAACCTTTGGCCCCGCAGATGTTCATAGACTCATTGACCCATACAGTTGTAGAGTTGGGAGGGACCCCAAGGGTCATCCAATACAGGAATCTCAACTGCATCATCAATGGCAAATGGCCGTCCAACCTCTGCTGAAAAACTTCCAATGAAGGAGAGTCCATGCCCTTCAGAGGGCGTCCGTTCCAGTGTCAAACAGCTCTTACTTGCATCAGCCCAAGCAAGTATTGCCAAGGTGTTGCAATCCTACAACATCTTGAGGGAAAATGGTTCCCCACACATGTTGTACACCATCTTCAATGTATAGAGGTATACAGTGGTCAGGACTGTTAGAAGCTCATCCTACACTCGAGTAGGACCATGGCAGAGACACATGCCCAACTGGCATGTTCCCTCCCTCCTGGTTGATTGTTCGGGAGCTTCAAAAGCTTTCTTCTGCCTGAACATCACAGTGACCGATGCCAACAGACATCGGCACACTTAGGGATCCACAAAGTCTTCGCAGCTTTGCATAACAGAACTCAGCAACTCAGCATTTTGGCTAATCTACTTTATTTACATATAAACACACACGGAGCACTGCAACATGGCTCATTCTCTCTCTAGCATCAGACAGCGAAGAGGAAAAAACAAAGGACAATAGTCCCACTTCATGGAACACAGTAACACAAACATCCTGTCTCCGTCACTTCCTACTCTGTGGAGTCAAAACATATACCGTCATGTGAAAGATAACAATCCCATGACTGCAATCACGGAGCAGGAATTCTAACAAGGACAAGAGAGCACCAGAACATGCACAACTGAGGCCAGGCTATCCCAGTGTAAGAGCAACCATGGCTGAGAGTAGAGTTGACTGAATATCCATCAGCTCTGATAGTGTGAGCACACACAGGCTGCTAAACTGGAACATTGCCCTCTACCGAAGGCCTGGTCTTGGATTTCCATCAGTCCCAGTCAGGTAGGGATGGTCAGGGATGATGGGTATTGTAGTCCAACAATATCTGGAGGGCACCAAGGTGACTACCTCTATTCTAGGGGGACCCTGGTACATTTAGGCACAACTCAGTCAAAGCAAAGTACTTCTAAGTCCTATTGATTTCAATGGAAGAGTTAGTCATTTGCTTAGATCTCTTCTATTCAGGACTGCATAGTTTTTAACTTTGGCAGGATCGTGCTCTTGGTCTGTTGGCTAAATTGTTGTCTTTAAAGGAAACACACTGTCTCACACACACACGCGCAGAGAGTGAGAGAGAGATTTCATTTGAAAATGAACACAGCTGAAACTGTGTTTACAACAAAATTCTGCAACATTTAATCAAACATTTAATCAAGCAGGCCTACCAAGTTTGTGGCCAGACTTCTGTTTCCAAAATGTTAACGCAAAGAACAAAATCTGTTCACAAGTTATGTTTATAAGGACAGCCAAGAATGAAGAAATAATATAATATTCAAAACAGGAAAAAAAATATTTACGATATATCTAGAACTGAGCATGTCCTAAGCAGAGAGGACCAAATATTACTGGCAATGTTTTAAAACCTCTAAATATTACAGAAGGTTGGGGCTACTAAATGGGCATAATTCTAGCAGCAACCAAATGCAGCGATGCCTTCCTTCAAATGTGTAATAGCTTTGGGCCATGATAGTAAATATAACCTCTAATCTGAAAAGGGGGGAAGAGGCAGCTGTGGCTCAATGTGCCAAGCCATGTGGCAGTTTTATGATGAGAACAAATGAGGGTTTGGATGAAATCAGTAGCTTGTTTTGGTTTATGGCTTAAGAAACGGTTTCTTAATGCTGCCCTCCTGAGATGAAAGGCAGCAGACGGGTTCATCTCCTGCCCTCCCTATAGAGCTCCTTTGAAAGAAAAGCCGTGTGGTCGTGGCATTTATTTAGCTGGGGAAAGAGTAGCTCAACAAGCTGGCAGGTAGAAGCGAAAAGGGTCAGTGTCCCGCTGACACCACTCATCACGATAATGAACGCTTGATGGAATCAGGAAACCTTCCTCAGGTAATGGTAGCTCAGAGAGATCTCAGGGAGGTGGGGTGTGTGTGATTTATCCGATCCATGTGACCTCAAGTGTTTTCTCAACTTATTTAAAGCAGAGATGAAACCTCTGGACCTGATGTGCATTTCTGTCACAGCAGCGATGGTTTAGATTTAGGTTGGAGAATTTTTGGCAAACTGCGCAGTTTACCAATCCCTTCAAATATCAGACAAAAGAAATCTTAGCTCAGCAGAGGGGGAAAGGAATTTAACCGCTTTCTCCACATATTCCTTTATGGTTTCAAAAATACAGTATCAAGAATGGGAAAGAATCAGAGCAGCATAACCAAGTCGAAACATGTCCATGTTTATGCTGTGTTTGGCTCCTCTTCTTGACAGAGACCCACTAGTGATCTCAAACCAACCTGACACAGGAATCTTGTCTTATTTCGTTCCCTTGTGGCTGAGAGCTGCCTAAACTAATGTGCGGTTTGGAGCTTACATTATCCACATAAGGTACCCAAGGGTGGTATGCACGGTTCCCCCCCACAAAACACACACACTAAACTTATCCAGCACTCTGCAATCTCCCCATCTGCCTTTGTTTCCTGATGTGAAAAGGGACCATGGGAGGAATTACTTTATCTCATTTTTCCCCTGGGCTTTAGTGACCACTTACTGGGTCTATATGGTCCGTATAGTTAAAGCTATGGTTTTCCAAGTAGTGATGTATGGAAGTGAGAGCAGGACCATAAAGAAGGCTGATCGCTGAAGAATTGATGCTTTTGAATTCTGGTGCTGGAGGAGACTCTTGAGAGTCCCATGGACTGCAAGAAGATCAAACCTATCCATTCTGAAGGAAATCAGCCCTGAGTGCTCACTGGAAGGACAGATCCTGAAGCTGAGGCTCCAATACTTTGGCCACCTCATGAGAAGAGAAGACTCCCTGGAAAAGACCCTGATGTTGGGAAAGATGGAGGGCACAAGGAGAAGGGGACGACAGAGGACGAGATGGTTGCATAGTGTTCTTGAAGCTACCAGTATGAGTTTGACCAAACTGCGGGAGGCAGTGGAAGACAGAAGTGCCTGGCATGCTCTGGTCCATGGGGTCATGAAGAGTCGGACACGACTAAATGACTAAATAACAAAAACTACTGGGTCTAGCCACCATTCCCGACAGCCTGGGACTTGTGTGTGACTGGCTGTTGAAAACCATCTGGCTGGCCGCACTGCAAGGCAGGATTGCCTGCATTTCCTGAATTTAAACTGCCCAATCATGGGCAGCTGGGTGAGCAGATCCTCGCTGGCTTACCGTGAAGAAGATTCTTCTACTCTGCCTTGCCAATCACTGACTCAGGCCCTTGACTTGACTAGCAGGCATTCGACAAAGTCTGGAAGTGTTCCTGGGAAAGTCTGCCTGCCTGTAGCCATATAAGCCTAAAAGCACCTTTCAGTCTTCTTCCGAATGTATGAAGGTTAGCAAGGTCAGGCAAGTATCACACCACTATAAAAAGTCATAGCTTCCCCCAGTGAATCCTGGGAAATGTTGTTTGTAAGGGGGCTAGCCAGTGTATCCCTGATTTCCTTCATGCAATTCTATTGCCTGGTGGAAATCAACACCTGACCAGGGTTCGTGTCACATGTCTTTTATCACTGGACATTACGGAGCGGCAGAAATAGCTGCTACTCCTCCCTTTTGCATAGCTGTCAAGTGTCCCTTATTTGAAGGGACAGTCCCTTATTCCAGCGCCATGTCCCGCTGCTGTCCCTTATTGATGGATGTCCCTTAAATGTCCCTTAAATGATGTCCCTTAAATTTCAAAGGAAGCAGCTCCTCTCCCTCCCTCCCTGCCGGCCAGGGAGGAGGGAGGCTCCAACTGTGTTGGTTGGCTGTGTTGCTCACCCAATAAGAAGTCTAAGAACAACTGGGGGGTGGAGCTTGAATGCCTTGTGTGTGGCTAGTTAATGCAAGCTGAGGAGGTTTTTGAATGCTGGACGCCATTTTGTTGCACGTACTGCTGCAAACTTTGCAGCGCAAAGCCAGGCCAGGGAGCCATCTTAAGTTGAGGCTGCATAGGCCTTGTGGTGCATGTGATTCAGATTCTAGATTCAGATTCTATTCAGTTGAACCTCTGGTTACAAAGTTGGTTGGACAGTGTTCTCGAAGCTACCAGCATGAGTTTGACCAGACTGCAGGAGGACAGGAAGACTGGAGTGCCTGGAACAGGTGAGGCTGCAGGTCCCTTATTTTGGCTGCTGGTCCCTTATTTTCAAATCTGTAAGTTGACAGCTATGCTTTTGCCTGTTTCAGTCTCATTCATGTCGCTTTAAATAGCAAGCCCTCTGGTGGGATTTGTGTAGAACAGGCAAAATCCATTCCGCTAATTGCTTTCAGTAGCAAGAATAGTTAACGAAGTCTACAGTTAAACATTTTCTGGCAGCCCTTGTTTTGTGATTAGCCTTTGAGTTAGTCATGCAGCACATTGCAAACAGCGCTAAAGGAAGCCGCAGGATTGTGTAAATGTTAAAAGTTGTTACCAGTGTTTTGCTTTCATTAAGATGACAGAACTACCTCGTCCAGTAAAAAGAAAATCACAGTGTTCTAGTAAAACAAGGCAATGCTTTATGGTTAACCAAAATATAAACCATTCAGCGGACACTGTAACCAACATGTTCTCACCAAATAATTTCATATAATCAATCGCCTCTCAACATTTGACACGTGTTCTTACCTTATGCTAGGGCTGCAGTCTTTAATAGGCAAATTAATCCACTAAGCCTTTAGCTGATTAATTGATAGGGCCCAGAATAATTGCGACTGCAAGCTACAAGCAAATGTGCGTGTTTTAAACTATTTTGGTTCTGGTGTGTTAATTTAAAATCAAATTTAAATGCCGAAGTTGGCCTTTGCTTCTAGAGGGAATCTTTATTAATCATGGGGGTCAATTTCTGAACAATGAGGGAGCTTTAACTATGAGTGGAAGTTTATGGTTTATTAAATTTTAAGTTATCTTGCACTGCCTCGTTATCTCAAAGGAGACCCTTGTTGAAATTTTAGTAAGATGTGAATTAAATTAATATCTAATCAGGTAAAAACATAGATGTAGGGTAGCCAATGTGCTTTCCTCCAGATGTCAATGGACTTCACCTCCCAGCAGACCCAAGCAGCCTGGCCAATGATCAGGGAGGATGGGACCTAGAGTCCAACATCATCTTGTGGGCACCATGTTGGCTTCCCCAGGTACAGGGTCAATCATTTCAGCACCCTACCCTGAACAGATTAAGGCTTGTCTATCAACTTGATCAATGTTTCATGTTGTTCCAGCAAACCAAGACCTCCAGAGGAGCAGCGTCTACCACATTCACATTGGTGCCAGAGAGATCTCCTCTCCATGAAACTTATCTCAGCATTGAAGCTGCAGCCCATGTTCACGGGTGACTTCATTTGTACATAACAGAGCTTTCGCTAAGGGCTATTATGCTAAATACAGTGGTATCTCGGGTTACAGACACTTCAGGTTACAGACTCCGCTAACCCAGAAATAGTACCTCGGGGTAAGAACTTTGCTTCAGGATGAGAACAGAAATCGCACGACGGCAGCGCAGCGGCAGCGGGAGGCCCCATTAGCTAAAGTGGTACCTCAGGTTAAGAACAGTTTCATGTTAAGAACGGACTTCCAGAACGAATTAAGTTCTTAATCTGAGGTACCACTGTACACACACACCTCCAAATTGATATGAGCCAAGGCTGAATTCTATTATGGCAGGGGAAGTGGCGCTAGGTTTCTGTATCCTAATGATGTCATTAAAATTACTTTCAAAGGAAGTCCATCTGCATATATCCCAGCAGGTGCAGATGTCTTTTCCTAAGAAGAAAGATACAGAATTAGCTCCCTCACAGAAGAGTGAATTGGGTTTTAAAAAGGTGAATTGGAAGTGGGCAGAGATTCTAGAGCTTTTTAGACCTTGGGTTAGTCAATCATCCAATCACTCAGACATGAAGCTTGAACTATACACACACAACAGGGCCCACAGGGGGATGTGGTGCTTGTAACATATTTTGGCATTTGGCTGCTCAGGGATGGGGCACATTTTTCAGCCCAATAGCGGCATTCAAGATGGGCAAACTTCCAAGGACAAAATGCGAGTGTTCAGTAGGGGCCAGATACAGAAACAGGAGAGAGTAGGGAGAAGGGGGAAATTCAGCGCACATTTCAAGGCAAACTTACCAAATTCACATTTTCCAAAACAATATGCACACCGAAACACAGCTCTGTCATGGCCTATGGAAGTGGGTGTTTCTTTTGATGCTGCTGCAGTCCCAATGGAACCCCATACCAGTAAGCCAGTGGCTGTCTTCTTCCCATTATGAAGAGCAAACTGCTTTTCAGAGCCACCCCAGAGCATTCTACAGGGATCCAGTTTAAAAATTCTTCTTCTGCAACCTTCTTCTACTCAGAATATGGCAGGCATTCTGAAACCTCTGAGCTCCATGTACATTTACAGCTTTCCATAAGTCAACATGCAAATATGTAAAGTCGTGAACCCTAGACTGCATCCTATCAGACAAGGCAGAATTTTGACCCCAAAGGTTCATTACGGAATATGTGGGAGATGGAACTGCCATTCATCACTGAAAGATGTTCCTTAATATTAAAAGGAGGACATTTAAACTTGCAAATCACCAGATGAAGTATTTGGCCTTCAATCCGCAGTTCTGGATGTACATGCTGATGAGAAAGCAGAGCATGTAGCGTGAGTAAAAAAAACAAAAACCCAGCAGGCACTAGTAGATATTGAAGACACCATAAACCTTAACCACAGGCGATAGAAAGAAATATTAGCAAAGAAAGAAAGTGCCAGATTCTTCTCTGGCAGGGGGTGGAAAAGCAATAACATCCCTGTGCCACAGAGCTTCCTTCACATAAACACCCCCTTAAATCAATCAGTCACACATGGAATTGCTCCATCCACATTTTGTGTGTTGTTGTTTTTTGGAGGGAGGGGGTTGGGAAGAGTTATGATAAATCAGAGCTTCAGAAAGCTGCCTGAAAGTTTCACAGCGCTTCAGAACTAATGTTCAGAACTAATAAAAAAAAAAAAAACCCACCCTCTTGCCACTTCATTCTGATACCAGGTTCTAGCAACCAGTTTGGTATTCAATGTAATAAAGCCACGCCGCAGGGTTTAATTGGTAGATGTATCCATTATTTATTTACTTAATCAAAGAAAGTACTAAATCAGGAATCAAAAGTTTCAGTCCCAGGAGTCAACTAACTTCAGCATGGTGTTTGCATGGAAATGACTGGCTTTTCCTGTTGTTTTCTCCAGAGTTGTGCTGCCTCCGTACCCAGAGATATGCTGGGTGACTTGGGCTAGTCAATCTTTCCACCTAGCCTTCCTCACAAGATTGTTGGGAGGAGAAAATGGGGGAGAAAAACCGTGTATGCCAGTTTGAGCTCCTTAGAGAAAAGGTGTGATATAAATGCAATAATAACAGCTACAAATAAATATGCCCAAACCTAATTGCATGCCTCTAGTGTGAGGGGAAAGGCTAGGTAAAGGTTTAATTATATAGTTTAATTATAGTGTGTGGCGCTATGGGTTAAACCACAGAACCTAGGACTTGCCAATCAGAAGGTCGGCGGTTTGAATCCCCGCGATGGGGTGAGCTCCCGTTGCTTGGTCCCTGCTCCTGCCAACCTAGCAGTTCGAAAGCACATCAAAGTGCAAGTAGATAAATAGGTACTGCTCCGGTGGGAAGGTAAACGGCGTTTCGGTGCGCTGCTCTGGTTTGCCAGAAGCGGCTTAGTCATGCTGGCCACATGTACGCCAGCTCCCTCAGCCAATAAAGCGAGATGAGCGCCGCAGCCCCAGAGTCGGTCACAACTGGACCTAATGATCAGGGGTCCCTTTACCCTTTACCTTTAGTGTGAGGGGGAAGGCTAGGTCAAGGTTTAATTATAGCTTCCAATTACGGAATGAAGCTTTCACACAAAATGCTATCGATGATATCTGAAACAATACAGCATAGCTTCAAATCATTAAACCACCCAATACACATTTTAAACCAAATCTTCCTCAGTACTGTTACATATGGCTTCATTGTACAGTTTCAGAGATCAGAGCAGATTGTGTTTAGTAGACCTGTCCTCTGTGTGACTACACGTGGCAAGTCTCTACCCATCAAGAATCACTAGTCTGAGGCAGGGCTGGATTGAGGTTTGATGAGGCCCTGAGCTACTGAAGGCAATGGGCCCTTTATAGGTTCAGCTGTCCTTTGCCAACAACAAATTGTTGCTGTTTTTTTGTGTTGAATGTATGCTTTATGGTAATTTATGGACCTAATAGGTGTCTAAAGCCATTTGCACATAACAGAATATGTATTTTATCAAGGTAATTGATATAGAAATGAGCAAACCAGTGATATTTTAGGCACCAGGCGAGCAGGCGGGACCCATTACTTACATCATAGGAGCCTACACAACACAAAACACTGTTGCTGTATGTAGGTTTTATTTTATTTGTTTTTTTATCTTATATTTTGGAAATGTACATCCAGTTGTTTTTTCTTTAAATTTTTTGGGGGCCCCCAAAAGAGTGGGGCCCTAAGCTATAGCTTGTTTAGCTTATACGTAAATCTGGCACTGGTCTGAGGCTTGTAACATGCAAAATCAACTCCCCAAATTCTGTGGAATTGTGCTCACATTTTGCTTTATATTTTCAGGCATCCGCAGATGCTTGAAAACTTTAATATCTCAGTGTGCTATATTTAGTCCCCATAATGCTATCTATGTATAAACTATAGCAAAACATTTCAGCTCCCACCTTCTCCAATGCGAAATGAAGGATGCTCTGGCCAAGGTGTGCATTACAGAACACACAGGAGGAAATATACAGAAACACTGCATGTTCTGGCTGTAACTGAGATGCCAGATGTGCTTCTCTAATCTTATGCTGCTAAGGTGTCAAGTCTATAGATTCAGAAGTGTCCTCCTCCTGTTCCCAGTGTTTCTATTTTTTTTAAAAAAAATAATATTTATTCCAAATTTAAAATCACAGAAAAAAAGAAAAACCATACAGAGTACAAAGAAAACTTTGACCATAACAGAGCAAAAAATAAACAAGTAAAAAGAACAATGAGATAGAATAAAAAAGAAAACTTAACAAAAAATATAAAAATGTATTAAGTTAAAAATAAAACAAAAACAGGTTAAACCTTTACATATCCTTTTCCCTTTACTTATTTCCATTGACCTCCTCTCACCTCCCAATTTTGTATTCTTGTTCAAATCGTATTTCCAGCAAATCCCTCTAATCTTATTTTCATTTACGTATTTTAAAATTGAAGTAATATAATTAAACCTCCTCTATTTCATCAAATTCATCAACTCATTTTTGCTTAGTCCATTATATCATATCTACCAGAACGACCTAATATTCTTTTTCCAACCTCCTTCTAACATTCTTTTATATTGCAATACTTTTGAAGATATATTTTGAATTTTTTCCAATCTTCTTCCATCGACCCTTCTCCCTGGTCTCGAATTCTGCCGGTCATCTCAGCCAGTTCCATATAGTCCATCACTTTCATCTGCCATTCTTCCAAGGTGGGCAATTCTTGTGTCTTCCAGTACTTCCCGATGAGTATTCTTGCTGCTGTTGTAGCATACATAAAGAAAGTTCTATCCTCCCTTCGCACCAATTGGCCGACCATGCCCAGAAGAAAGGCCTCTGGTTTCTTCAGAAAGGTATACTTAAATACCTTCTGTTCCCAGTGTTTCTAGACCAGATGACACCTCTAGTGCAATAGTTCAAAAAGAGGTTGTGATTCTTTCAATATAGACAGCACATGTCCCACTTTACCCCCGTGATTGAGGGTGCCCAGGGCCATGTGATGTCAGCATGCCCTGCGGCATCCGCACATGACATTAGCATGTCCGATAGCATGATCACGGCATATGTGCATACACCACAGTGTGTTGACATCACTTGCACATGCTGTGGGCCATGCTGATGTGCGGGTGCCCCACAACATGTGCATGTGTGATGTGAGCACGCCCCACGGAGTGTGCACACGGCCGCCATTGAACTTTGGGGGGCAGCCCTTTCATCTGAAATATTGGGGGCTGGCCCCCTGCCGCCGCCGCCCATCTCTCCCCTGGGATAACTAGGTAAAATGGAGGGCAGGTCCCGTAAAGTGGTACCTTGGTTCTCAAATGCCTTGGTACTCAAACGCCAAAAACCCGGAAGTATGTTTTCCGGTTTTTGAATGTTTTTTGGAAGCCGAACATCCGATTTGACTGTCAGCTATTGTTTCCGGGGCGCTTGAATCAATCAGAAGCTGCGCTTTGGTTTTCGAACATTTTGGAAGTCAAACAGACTTTCAGAATAGATTAAGTTTGCTGCTTTTGTTTTTACTATTTATTTTGCGTTTTTGTTTTCGAGGCTCTTTCAGTTAATTTGTTTTTGTGACTGTGTGGAACCCAGTTCAGCTACTGATTGATTGATTGATTGATTGATTGTGTGACTGAGGAAATGGATAAAGGCCCCCCATCCAAACAATGACTATCATCAGTGCAGGTAAGGAAAAAAAATAATTTTGATTTTTATCATCTACAATACTGTCTTATTTATTTATAGTACAATACATTGATTATTGCTTTCATTTTATGGATCAATGGTCTTGATAGATAGTAAAATTCATGTTAAATTGCTGTTTTAGGGGTTGTTTTTAAAAATCTGGAACGGATTTTTAACGCGCCTTGGTTTTGGAACGCTTTGCTTTTGGAACGGACTTCCGGAAGGGATTAAGTTTGAGAACCAAGGTACCATTGTACTTTATTAGTTGCATAAGTGTGGTCATTTTGGTTGATGCACATTGTCCCTGGGGAGTGAGGCAAACTCTCATGCCCATCAGTTCTCCCTCTAATGAACACACTCGGACCTCTTTCTCATCTGGTCAACCTGTTTCGCCCAACTGGTTGCTGAAGCCAGATAGCCTTGGGAATGTTCCAGCATTTCCTTATGAGTCTGCTCATTTGTTTCTGCTCTCCGTGTAACAAGCAGGTTGACCTTTTGAAGGTAGGAACTGCGGCAGGACAAGCGGTGACTTGCCCTGCTGAAGCTAAAATATAAACGCAAAGCAAGTGGAAATCAGAAACAGCTGAAGATCCTGTAATAGTCCTTGGCTGCAGCAGTGGAAATTACAGGTTTAGGATGTGAGCAAAGAACACAGGGAGACATTTCTATTACAAATCGTTCAGTTTCTTCAAGGGAGGGTGGGGTAGGCTCACATCTGCACAAGCCTGATCTTGCCATCCAGCAAATCCAGCAACTTAATTAAAACAGAAAAAAGGTGACTAAAGGGAGGGTCCTAACTAAGCACCAGCCCAACTTTCCCCCCTTACAGCACCAAGAGAGAATCACCTCCATGGGGCTATAGCCAGAGATGAGAAGGAAGATATCACATCTCATTTTTCCTGCTCTAGACAAATAGCAGGTTGCAGGTGTGCAGCGCAAGGCTGGTCTGATCCCAGCCCAACTCCCAACACACTCCACAAGGCCATAACTTCTACTTTTTTCTTCTTCTGCTGGCATTGGTGACAGTAGCAATGTGGAGGACCGGGCTATGGAGTTCTGCCATCTATATTTTGCTCTCTTATGCAAGAAACACTGGCAACCGTACACAGAAACACACGCACTTCACTTCAGTAGCTTTGTGGGTAAAGATGGGAGGACTTTACAGCCCTTCTTCCTCTTTTGCTTCCAGGGCTGAGGGTCTCTTCCATGGGTAGAGAGCTCCAAAATTCACCAGCTCTGCAGAAAGACTCTCCATGCTTTCATGTGGATTCAGAGTTCTCAAGATATATCCTGTTGTGGAGCCTTCTCATCCCGCTCTTATGACAGAATACAGGGCTTATAGCCACCACTTTGGGTCTCTGCTGTTGAGCCTAAGAGCTCCGACTCATACTCAGGCATGGCTGATGACAACCCATCCCTTTCCACTACCTATTAAAAAAAGGTAAAGGTAAAGGACCCCTGACAGTTAAGTCCAGTCATGAATGACTCTGGGGTTGCGGCACTCATCTCGCTTTACTGGCCGAGGGAGCCGACGTTTGTCCGCAGACAGTTTTTCCGGGTCATGTGGCCAGCATGACTAAGCCGCTTCTGGCGAACCAGAGCAGTGCATGGAAACGCCGTTTACCTTCCCGCCGGAGCGGTACCTATTTTTCTACTTGCACTTTGATGTGCTTTCGAACTGCTAAGTGGGCAGGAGCTGGGACCAAGCAATGGGAGCTCACCCTGTCATGGGGATTCGAACCGTCGACCTTCCGATCAGCAAGCCCTAGGCTCAATGGTTTAGACCACAGCACTACCCGTGTTCCCCACTACCTATTACAAACCCACTAACTGTCCTCCCAATCCTATCTTGCTATTTATTTCTGTTCCTCTTGTTTATTTCTCTCCCCCACCTCTGCCTTTTCCTGATCTTTCCCTGCTGCTTATACAACAGAAGCAGAAGTTCTTCCACCTTCACGCTTCTGCCATGCAGCTGGGCTTGACTCCAAATACCTGGCATGGGTGGGGAGGCAAACTGCCTCCATGTCTCCTCCGGCTTCATAACATCCATGGCGTTCAACCATGGTTCAACCCAGCTCCAAGACAACCCCATCCCATGCCTTGGAATTCCCCTCCAAAATGGTAGGAGGGGGTGCAAAGCCTGCAATCTTGTGCGCCCAAACCTAGGAGTAACTCTTTCAACACAGCTAGGCTTCCTTGATGCTACATTATTTAAATAAAGGCCCTTTCGAGTTATCCGCACTGAGTGCCAGATGTGCATACTTGATAAGAGCTTGTGTGTGCTTGCATGCCACTTGTAGAACAACAATTGGTGCTCAGTCTAGAAGGCCAAGTTAGCCATCTTGTATCGTGAGACGATTCCCTTCATTTCAAATCACTGGGCAAAAACTTCACTTGAAAACACTGTCCCTCTTTTAAAAACACACACACACACACACCCTAAAAGCACCTCCTAAACATTTTTGCATTCATGATTGCACAGACCACGAGTTTGAAATTTGTTACTGTTTATATATACATTTCGACTGACTGGTTTGTGTTTCCCAAAGGCCCAACCTGCCATATTTGTTTTGGCTTTGGACAACATTTGAACCTCTGTGATGTCTTGAGCATTTCGGACTACAGCAATCTGCTCACAAAGCACATGGGGCAGTCACCCTGAATGGTGCTCATAAACACCCAACTCTGCTAAGAAGAAACTTGATATTCTTACTCCAGTATATATTGCCCTAGGGCCGGGGTGGGGAAAAAGAAAAATCAAATGTTTTTCCTCATGGCCTCTAACACCTGGACAATTCATTTAGGCCTGGCTAAGGAAAAAGTGAGATACAATGGGGGAGAATACCTAAGGAGGCACAGAGTAACCATTCATATTATGTTCCATATATATATTCAAAAGTATATCTGAAGGAGCGTCTCCACCCCCATCGTTCTACCCGGACACTGAGGTCCAGCGCAGAGGGCCTTCTGGCGGTTCCCTCACTGCGAGAAGCCAAGTTACAGGGAACCAGGCAGAGGGCCTTCTCGGTAGTGGCGCCTTCCCTGTGGAACACCCTCCCACCAGATGTCAAAGAGAACAACAACTACCAGGCTTTTAGAAGACATCTGAAGGCAGCCCTGTTTCGGGAAGCTTTTAATGTTTGATGTATTATAGTATTTTAATATTCTTTTGGAAGCCGCCCAGAGTGGCCGGGGAAGCCCAGCCAGATGGGCGGGGTATAAATAATAAATTATTATTATTATTATTATTATTATTATTATTATTATTATTAACTAACTGAGAAGAACAGTTGTCAACAGAACTTTGGACAGGAACTAAAGTACACCATGAAAACAAATTTCTAATAGATACATGTTGGCCTGAAGACATTGTATCTGTTAACAACTTCAGATATCATTTGTAGAATGAGACGCATGACTCATGTCAGCTATGAAGGGCTCATGCAGGTATAGACCATATGGTCTTTTCCCCAGTCAGTCAGTCATTTACATTTTCCTCACCATTTGTGGGGAAATGTATCAGCTGAAGGAGGCTATCACAATTACCAGGAGTTTGGGAGAAAGTCCAGCCACCCAATATTTATTCTGAAATGGTAGAGGGGTCTCCACTGTGGAAAAGATGCTCAGCAAGCCTGCAGGATTCATCCTCAGTGCTGAGATTCACTCAGATGGGTGAATTTTCATTTTGGTTTCTCATTTATCCAGTCTTACCTTCAGTTCTCCACATTTTCACATCAGCTTAAGAAACAACAACTATATGACCCCACTTATCAGTTTTACATTTAAAATATTTTTGTTTCATATAATTTAATAATAATAATAATAATTTGTTATTTATATGCCGCCCATCTAGCCGGGTTACCCCAATCACTCTGAGCGGTTTCCAACAAATTAAAACACAGTAAGACGTCAAACATTAAAAGACTTCGCTACACAGGGTTGCCTTCAGGTGTCTTCTAAAAGTCAGATAGTCCTTGGCATCTGGTGGGAAGGCATTCCACAGGGTGGGAAGAAGAAGAAGAAGAAGAAGAAGAAGAAGAAGAAGAAGAAGAAGAAGAGGAGGAGGAGGAGGAGGAGGAGGAGGAGGAGGAGGAGGAGGAGTTTGGACTTGATATCCCACCTTTCACTCCCCTTAAGGAGTCTTAAAGTGCCTAACAATCTCCTTTCCCTTCCTCCCCAAACAACAAACACTCTGTGAGGTGAGTGGGGCTGAGAGACTTCAGAGAAGTGTGACTGGCCCAAGGTCATCCAGAAGCTGCATGTGGAGGAGTGGGGAAGCGAACCTGGTTCACCAGATTACGAGTCCACCACTCTTAACCACTACACCATGCTGGTACAACTACCAAAAAGGCCCTCTGCCTGGTTTGATTGCATAGCACCAGTTGATCTCCCAGCAGACAATATACTTGATGGTCAATTCCACCTTTATTTTGGTGATTTTCTCCCTGCCCCCCCCCATTTAATGGTATACCTACATGAATAGGGGAAGAGGTGAAGGTGGAGCTCCCAAGCCCAAGCCATAGCAATTTTATAAGGTACATATCAGAGCTTCAGAAACCACACAAGTTGCTCAGAGAGCTCTTAACTCATGTGTTTAACTGACTCAAGACAACTTTGGTGGTGGGAAGGGGTAGAAGATATTACCTGATTGGGTCCAGAGTTAGGTGTATTCAACACAGAAATATTCCCCAGCCCAACAGTCAGGAGGGCTAGGAAAATGATCTTAATTTTAAATTATAAACAGCTATAAAGAGCCATAGAAAAGCCTTTGTATACTAGCCTAAAGACAATTACCCAATTTCATCTGCTGCAAGATGAAAACTGGAAACATCATTTAACCTCACATTCTTCTATGTTCCAAGTGCTATCCAAGTTTTACCAGCTGCCTATACTTTTGACTAAAGTGAATGTCATTATATGGCCAGCGGTAACCACAAAAGAGCAGTAGCCAAGACTAGTTTTACATTTACTTTCCTTCTAATTAAGCATCTTCAAGACTCTGAAGTGGCTGGGCCTTTTTGGCGGAATCCATATTTATGGAATCAGACACTCCTGCCAGTAATGCAAAAAGCACTCCAAAAGAATGGAAAGTCAGTAGGAAAGGGTTATCTAGCCTCTTAAAAGTGTGCACACCCAATTCCTCCTCCAAAGAGGTCAGAGAGGGTTACCGATGGGCATTCGTTCCCAGATCTTCTTAGCTTCATCAGCAGAACTACATAGAATCATAGAATCATAGAGTTGGAAGAGACCACAAGGGCCATCGAGTCCAACCCCCTGCCAAGCAGGAAACACCATCAGAGCACTCCTGACATATGGTTGTCAAGCCTCTGCTTAAAGACCTCCAAAGAAGGAGCAAATTCCACTGTCGAACAGCTCTTACTGTCAGGAAGTTCTTCCTAATGTTTAGGTGGAATCTTCTTTCTTGTAGTTTGGATCCATTGCTCCATGTCCGCTTCTCTGGAGCAGCAGAAAACCACCTTTCTCCCTCCTCTATGTGACATCCTTTGATATATTTGAACATGGCTATCATATCACCCCTTAACCTCCTCTTCTCCAGGCTAAACATGCCCAGCTCCCTTAGCCGTTCCTCATAAGGCATTGTTTCCAGGCCTTTGACCATTTTGGTTGCCCTCCTCTGGACACGTAATGTGTCACCAGACATAATGTGTCACCAGACCTTTCCCTACATCTGCAGTTGGTTGAACTATGGGCCCCACCTCTTAACTGTACCATAGCTACATTTACTACTTCCTCTTCCAAAGTGTGAGGAAACATGCTGCAGGTTAAAAAAAGGTAAAGGTAAAGGAGCCCTGACAGTTAAGTCCCGTCGCAAACGACTCTGGGGTTGCGGCGCTCATCTCGCTTTACTGGCTGAGGGAGCCGACGTTTGTCCGCAGACTGTTTTTCCGGGTCATGTGGCCAGCATGATAAAGCCGCTTCTGGCAAAACCAGAGCAGCACATGGAAACGCCATTTACCTTCCCACCAGAGCGATACCTTTGACGTGCTGTCGAACTGCTAGGTTGGCAGGAGCTGGGACCGAGCAACAGGAGCTCACCCCGTTGCGGGGATTTGAACCGCTGACCTTCCGATCAGCAAGCCCTGGGCTCAGTGGTTTAGACCACAGTGCCACCTGCATCCAAGGCATAATCTAGGAAATAATGTATTCTGTTGCTCAGCCTCTAAGGATAACTGCATCAGAATGGAACTGGTCTTTGCTCATCACTGCCAATACACTTTTATGAATTACTAGAGGGACCGCAGATCCATTCACTAATCCCCTACCACTTTCAGGCATTATCCACCTAGAGGTCCCCCTACCCACCCCATGCAACTACTAACCCCATTTTCACCCTCCCAGTCCTATATTTGAAGCTGCCAAGCCTTATGAGGAACTGTTGAGTGAGTTGCATATGTTTAGCCTGGATAAGAGGAGACCAAGAGAAGATAGGGTGGTCATCTTTAAATATCTCAAGGGCGGTCACATGGAAGATAGAGAAAGCTTGTTTCTTCCAGCTCCAGAAGGTAGGACCTGAACTAATGGATTCAAGTTAAAAGAAAGGAGATTCCAACTCAACATCAGGAAGAACTTTCTGATGGTAAGCACTGTTTGACGATGGAATGGGTTCCCTCAGTGGACTCTCCTTCCTTGGAGGTTTTTAAGCAGAGCGGCCATCAGTCATGGATGCTTTAGTTCAGATTCCTGCATTGGAAGGGGTTAATGAAATAGCCCATATTCTGCCTCATTCTTCCACATGCCACATTTAGTCCCACCCACTTCCACCTGCCACTTCTCCAGTTCCTCCTTTCTCTCCTCTCCTAACACCAGTTAACTAAAACTATCACACAGTGAGAACCCTTCTTGCCCTCACCAAGGCTTTCCCTTAACCCTTCCTGCAAATTCATTTACTACAGGTGCATGTTTCCTCCTTTTTTCTGTTCCTGCTCCCTCCTCCTTCTCCAACCCATGCCTTTAGAACCTTGGGCAATAGCCAATGAAAACATTATGATCACAGGCTACTGCAAATATAGTATTGAGAGATAATTATGATAATGATGGTTTAGGTTTACCACTCTGAAGCTTCGGAACACGCACAGGCCTTCCTTCCACCTGCACTGAACCTACATAGTGGGAAAGATGCAACAAAATATAACCAGCCATCTTCTCACACAATATGCATTTCTAACCATATTTTATGCACATATTTGTTCAGAGTTTTGAGCCAAGAACTGCACTGCAAAATTTGGAGAGACGCAAAATCTGAAGGATGACTGTGCTCCAATCTATACATTGCTTTGCAAGGTGTGGATCCGGACAGTCTGCACTGGAACCCGCAAAGAACAAATGCCCTGAGCATCTCTGGTGCTTTTTTAATAGCAAGGTAAAAGAGTGGGTAGACATCTGATGTGGTAGGAACTGATTGAGTGGAAAGGCAGATCTGCCTAAATGACTAACACTGACTAACTAAATGACTAACTAAGCAAATAACTAACTAACTACATAACTAACTAACTAAATAACTAAATGACTAACAATGACTAACAATGACTAACACTGAGCTATGCAAGTCCTCACCCTTTAAGGAATGGGGGCCTATTAACAACAGACATCCCAAAAGAAACCAAAGGAATATTTTTGGATGCAGTAATGGCGGCCAGGATAGTAATTGCTAAACATTGGAAAAGTAACATAACACCGACAAAAGAAGAATGGGTTCTTAAACTGTCAGAATATCTTGAACTGGCCAAACTTACAGGTTTAATAAGAAATTATTCTAATGAGAAAATAAAGAGAGAGTGGGAAGTCTTTATAAATTATATGAAGAGAACCGATTCCCAGATTCATACTTGGCTTAGCTTAGAATAAAAATTTCACAGGTAATTAGAACATTTCTCCAAAAATTTAATCATTACAGACAACCAGTGATATAAGGAATAAAGACCCACATGGAGTTAGTTGGAAGTCAATTCCCCCCCTTTTTTATTTTTCCTTTTTCCTTTTCTTCTCTTTCTTCTTTTTTTTTGGTGTTGTTTTTCATTCTTCTTTTCCCTTTTTGGGGATAATATAATGTTTTGTATTTTTATTGCAGTTTATGTTATTATGTTTACATCCTTGTAATTTTGCTTTTGCATTTTCTTCTGTTTTATATTGTTTGTTCGTTTAATTCAGTGCTTGTTTGTGTGATGTATAAGTATAAGTATAAATAAATAAATAATTTTTTTAAAAGGAATGGGGCAAAATACAGGCAAGAGAAAGTTGATATTTGAGCCAGCTGAAGCATCTGATTGCTCTAAATATTTTAAATTGCAAAAAGTGTTTTGTTAATGTAAATGTGAATGAGATTTTCTAGGAGTCAGGCTGTAGGTAGGGAAGCAAAGAGGAGTCCTGTTCTTGTAGGTGCATTCAGCTCTGTTGCTCGTATTGATGCCTTAACTAAGAAGTGTGAAGGCTTGAACTTACCTGAAAAAGATTGCAAACAGCAGCCACTCAATAGAGGAAAGGATCACAACTCTGAGGCTGCGATTTCCAGATTCTTAAACTAAAGAAATCACTCTCTGCATATCCTTGCCTTCAACATCCACTTCTTGTACTCTTGCTACAACTCTTCCAGAGCTGGAGTTCTACCATCAAAAGAAGACCTGGAGCTATGCTGGTGGCATCTATGACTCAACCCAGGAGCCAATCTTCAGGCTCCATGTTCTCTGGTGCCTGGAAAATTGGGTATTTGGATTTTGGTACCCTTCAAAATTTTAAACGGTGGTGCTGTTAAGGTGCCACACTCAATATGCCAGCAAATTTGGAAAACTCAGCAGTGGCCAGAGGACTGGAGAAGATCAGTCTACATCACAATCCCAAAGAAGGGCAGTGCCAAAGAATGCTCCAACTACTGCACAATTGCACTCATTTCACACGCTAGCAAGGTTATGCTTAAAATTCTACACGGCAGGCTTAAGCAGTATGTGGACCGGGAACTCCCAGAAGTGCAAGCTGGATTTCGAAGGGGCAGAGGAACCAGAGACCAAATTGTGAACATGCTCTGGATTATCGAGAAAGCTAGAGAGTTCCAGAAAGACATCTACTTCTGCTTCATTGACTATGCAAAAGCCTTTGACTGTGTCGACCACAGCAAACTATGGCAAGTTCTTAAAGAAATGGGAGTGCTTGATCACCTCATCTGTTTCCTGAGAAATCTCTATGTGGGACAAGAAGCTACAGTTAGAACTGGATATGGAACAACTGACTGGTTCAAAATTGGGAAAGGAGTACGGCAAGGCTGTATATTGTCTCCCTGCTTATTTAACTTATATGCAGAATTCATCATGCGAAAGGCTGGGCTGAATGAATCCCAAGCCAGAATTAAGATCGCTGGAAGAAATATCAACAACCTCAGATATGCAGATGACACAACATTGATGGCAGAAAGTGAGGAGGAATTAAAGAACCTTTTAATGAGGGTGAAAGAGGAGAGCGCAAAATATGGTCTGAAGCTCAACATCAAAAAAAGGAAGATCATGGCCACTGGACCCATTACCTCCTGGCAAATAGAAGGGGAAGAAATGGAGGCAGTGAGAGGTTTTACTTTCTTGGGCTCCATGATCACTGCAGATGGTGACAGCAGTCATGAAATTAAAAGACTCCTGCTCCTTGGGAGAAAGGCAATGGCAAACCTAGACAGCATCTTAAAAAGTAGAGACATCACCTTGCCAACAAAGGTCCGTATAGGTAAAGCCATGGTTTTCCCGGTAGTGATGTATGGAAGTGAGAACTGGACCATAAAGAAGGCTGATGGCCGAAGAATTGATGCTTTTGAATTATGGTGCTGGAGGAGACTCTTGAGAGTCCCATGGACTGCAAGAAGATCAAACGCATCCATTCTTAAGGAAATTAGCACTGAGTGCTCACTGGAAGGACAGATCATGAAGCTGAGGCTCCAATACTTTGGCCACCTCATGAGAAGAGAAGACTCCCTGGAAAAGACCCTGATGTTGGGAAAGATTAAGGGCACAAGGAGAAGGGGAAGACGGAGGACGAGATGGTTGGACAGTGTTCTCGAAGCTACCAGCATGAGTTTGACCAAACTGCGGGAGGCAGTGGAAGACAGGAGTGCCTGGCGTGCTCTGGTCCAGGGGGTCACGAAGAGTCGGACACGACTAAACAACAACAACCCTTCAATTATAGTTGATAAAACAAGAAAAGTGCGTGCTAACACTGCCAGGAATCCAAAACTCAAACACTTGCAGCCCAAACCCACCTGAGTAGATGTATAGTAATGATCAACTAACCCATACTTCAAGGTAGAATAGGTAGCATGGATACTCATGCACACAGAGGCACTGCTTTAAAAAAAAAAAAAACCTGATGCCATGCTTGAATCATAAATAGCAATATAAGAGAGAGGGGATTGGAGACAGGGAGGGAGAGAATTCACCCAAAATCATAGGAGGAAACTTTTGATATTCAGACCTAGTCCTAACATGAGGCGGAAACCTCAGACCACAGATTTGGGGCACTGTGAAACTCTGGCAAACTGTCAGTTACAGATATTTTCCTGAGGTGTTTGGATCTGCCAGGCCAGAGTTGGTTATGGGGCTGGCAAAGTACCGAGAATACATTTAAATCTGTCTAGACAGAGAGGGGGGGCGAAGATTAGGAAAAAATGACTTTAAAATTATGCATAACATTTTGTGAATCTAACGGGAGAAGAAACTAAAAAAAATAAAATTTTAGTTTCTTCTCCAGCACGGTGAATTGTCAGTTCCGTTGCTACCCCCGATGGCAGCCTCATTTCCTTTCCCGGTGTTTTCTGAGTCTCAGGCGGAAGTGAGCGTTTAATGTGTGAAACAGAGTGGATGGCATGTGGATGTGTGGTGTTTTACTGGTGCAAGTTTGGCCTCACTGAGGGGCAGACCCCTGTTGTAATCCTGAACGTCTTCTCTGAAAGGGTCATGGTGGAGAGGCAGTCTCTACCATTCCTCCTCTGCCCAGTCCCTGACAGCATTTGGACACTCTGGGCCGTCTTACCCATAGGCGCTAGGGGTGCAGGGAACCTGGGCACCAGGCTCTCAGGGGTGCCAGGCCAAGAGTCCAGGGCCCGAGAGTTGAGTCCGGGGAAGAGCCCGGCGGTCGGTCAGAGTGCTGCGATGGGCTCTTCTGCTGCAGGTGGCTCTGCGCCACAAGTTTGGGGGTGACCAAGACAGCAAGATACTGAGGCGGCCAGCCGGCTCCGCCCTCCTGCGCACCTGGGACTAGGCAACCGGGTGGGTGCGCCGGATGGATCTTTGCACCCTGGCACCGCATATGTTTAAGACAGCCCTGTGGACACCTCTTAGATATCATAACCAAGGTTTGCATGATGGTTCCTGAGATTGAGAAGCAGGTTTTTATCTATCTTGGGACACAATTAGACACCATTTTGAATCAAAATGAGAGACTTGGTTTCCTGGCAGAATCCTAGACCAGGGAGAAGAGTCGGTGAAAGAAGACTGGAAGAAATTTAAAGACTATTTACAGAAATATTGTAAAATTAATGAATCTTAGAAGGATGTTGGATAGAAACTAAGTGGTTTCCAGCTGTAATGCTTTAAGAGATACGAAAAAGGTTTACAAATGGGTAAAAGCTTAATGGTAAGGATTTGCTGAACTAACAAAGTGAACTGGAATACAAAAAAGGGAGGTACGAGGAGGTCCGGGGAAATAAGTTAAGGAAGATATGCTATGGAAAATTAATGTGTTTTTAACTGTTTTTATTTTGTATGTTTCTTTTTATTTTTCATTTTTTTGTTATACCTTAATAAGGGTTTTTTTTACTCTTTTTGCTGTATTTTGTATTTTCTTGTATTTTTATTTTTTGTTTTTGTGTAATTCTTGTATTCTTTGAAATTTTAATAAATATCATTTTTTTTTTTTAAAAAAAAAGAGAGACTTGGTTTCTTAGAATTCCCAAGCAAGGCCAGGTACAAGACTGATATATCTATATTGACACCCCCACCCCTCAGGAACACGTTGCCAAAACTCTCCATACTGAACCTTTTTAGAAATATGAAACAAAGAACCACTCCCAACAGTTTAGTTTATTTTTCACTCTAGCAACTTGTTCCAGCCCTCAAACTGTTAGAAAGTTCATTTTAACTGATAAACTGAACTCACCTCTCTGTGCTTTAAATATATCAGTAGGTATTAAATGCTCAGTAAATTCCTAGCCTTAACTCTCAGCTGTGTGAATAGAAGACCTGTAGGGCTGAGGCAATTTTACAAGGCCAATAAAATCCAGGATGCAGAATATAAAAAAAAACAGGGTACTGAGCACTTTTGCAGAAAGGATGTAATTTCTTTGGATATAGTCCTTCTAAGCGCTTCTGTTTTTAATAGCAACATCAATAAATGCAATCATATATTTATGCTTTCTTGATGCACGTCCCTTTGATCATGCCACTTGTTTCTTTTTCAGTGTAGCTGCCAGCAATGAGACATCTTTTTAATATTATAGCTATGTTCCAATTGATGTCCATACCAGGCTGTGCTGATGAATCACTTGTGGGTGATAAGAGGCCAAGCAATTTGCCCTGCTGTTAAAAGAGTGGGCAAGGATTATGTTGCTGGGGCAATTATTCCAACAGACATGCATTTGAGCCCAAGTTTTACACGAATGCATTTTTAAAAGAGTGCAGCAATTATAACAACAGTTCCTGCATCGTATCATATCAAAAATAAATTACATGTGACTCACATTAATATCTTAACAGCTTTAAAGGCTTAATTTCAGTGCACAGTGGTACCTTGGTTCTCAAACGCTTTGGTTCTCAAATGCCTTGGTTCCCAAACGCTGAAAACCCAAAAGTAAGTGTTCCAGTTTTCAAACGTTTTTCGGAAGCCGAACGTGATCCGTTTTGAGTGTTACGCTTCCGATTTGAGTGCTCTCAAAATACATATTTAAAGGGATACTTTAATAGAATTAAATGGCTGAAAACTTGTTGAATTTAAATTGCTGGGGGGGGAAATCCACTTGAGGAAAAAATGAGGAAGAAAAATCTTTGTTAATAATGAATGTCAGCACATTTAGAAGGTTAGTAATTCAAAAGCAATCTTATGCATAAGAAGTGGCTAATTTATTAAGTGAAATACGACTAAAAATGTGAAGGTTTTTTCCCTAGCCAGGCTCCTACATCCTTACAGGGGTTGCCAACTTTTACTTGCTGCCGCAACTGTAACAAGCAGTTCATTGGGCCATGTTGGTTCTCATGCCTTTCCCCACAAACCACCCCAGAAGAATCTATGGGAGACAAAAACACGCCACCTATCAACTCCCCACTCATCCTCTATTTAACTCATTCAAAATAAGCCACTTCTTATTCTTTCTACCCCCAGTTCAGCAGGACCATCTTCAAACTTACCTCTTATTTTCCAACAATAAGCCATAGAACCTGCACCACCGTTGTTTGTCACCGTAATAGTTGGATGTGATTCTGCTGGTTCCTCTTTAACCTACGGCTACAAAGCTTGCTCTAGAATAACGATGGTCCTCAATTGATGATACTCAGCCTGGCTATTCCGTGGGATGGATGCTACACAGAAAAGTATCTGGTCCAAGTGCTGGCTGATTTTATGCCACAATGTATTCCACAATAGCCTTGGAAATGGAGTATGTAGTCAGTTCTGGCCTATTTCGTCCTGACCCAGAATGTCCCTTTATGAGTGGTGTCAAAAAGGTCTTTTAGAAACATTTATAGCACTTCTCTGCAGAGCCAAAATGTTACTCAATAACCCATGTTTACAAGTATAACTCTTACTCAGAATCCAGGGTCATGAAAATCAATGGGATGTCTGCCATCAAAATAGTAGGGTGAGGTTGCATCTTTTCTTGGGTTTGTGCTGTTTTTTTCTAGAATGCACATCCTCCAGTCAATATGAACAGGCCTGAAGAGCATAGTAAATATAGTCTACCTTATGAAAGTGCTATAGAGTAGTGCACATTTGTAGCTTGTAACAGCAACAGCATGTTTATGTTGGTGGATTAACTTTACAAAGCAAAAGCTAGCAAGCCATTCCTGTATTTAGTATTCCCTTGGCACAGATTTCCTTTCACAACAACTGCCTGTCATGAAACTTAAAGCAAATGCTGAAATGTATACAATCTCCACTGCTGCTTAAAAAAGCTTAATGTGGGCTTGTGTCATACCCAGATTTTACATTTACCAGACAAAATGGGATCTTTTTATGTTTTGTGGTTATACCTATTTTGGGTGAGATCCAATGTTTGCCAACAATGTTAGCCATACTCAGAAGACACCCACTGAAATCAATTGATTTCATCCATTTCAAAGGGTCTAGTCTAAGTATGACCAATTGGATATCACTCTTTGCTTCTTCCCATAACTTGGTGATCACTACTGACATATACAACCAAGTATAAAAGTATGCTGTCTGTCTCAATAATTTTATGTTATATATCACATAGTCATCATGATTGGACAAGTGACCTTATCTTCTTAGGACAAAGTTAGAGAAACCACACCTTTCAAAGCAGAGCTGCATGACCTGTTTTGCTTCATGCATTTTGGAACCACTATCCATGCAATTCCTTAGATCAGGGACCCAATGCTTAACAAAAACTCAGATACATGGCACATACATGGCGGTTGCATTCCTCAGACTTGGGCAGCTGGATCCGTTCTTTCAATTCAGAACCTATTGTATTAATTTTAATTCAGTAGGACATGAAAGTCATGGATCCACAAGGGCCTTCTTGAGGGGGGCTCTGATTTAGAAGGGGCTTCTCCCTAATTCCTCCCTCCTTGATTATAGCCCCATGTGTTATGTCTTGCTTTTTGTTCAAAACCAACCCTGACACCAATTAAAGGCTTGATGATGTCAACATCTGGTTTTGTGGTTCCCGTCGGGTCTTCTTCCTTCAGCTCACTTTCTTAAGGCTCAAAATTGTCTGTCGGCACAAATCCCAGCTCTCAACCAGCACTGTTCTTTCACAGCCTTTCACTGAGCCAGCCTTGTGTGGGTGCGCAAACACCCTCCTGCGGTTCAGCCACAACGTATGGAAGGTTCCATAGGCAACCAGCCGCTGTTCAGCTTGGCTTCTGCATATGCTGGAACAAGCTCATGGCATTTTCGAATTGAGTTTCCAACAGCACAAGCATTCCAAGGGCGTTAAGACTTGTGCCAAAGAACAACAAAATATGAGACTTCCCACAAACCTCCTAAATGGTTTATAATCCTGGCACACGGAAAATGTCACAGCCCACAGGTCAGAGAGTTCATAGCTATAAAGAACATTCTAGAGTGTGGCACAATTATAATTGGTTCCTAAGGGCATATCTGAGGCCAAATTATTGTCTAAAGAGACAGAAAATAAGGTACTGATCACCATGTGGTGTTTTCCATGAGAAAAATAATAGGTAAGGTTATTAGCTAAATATGTTTTCAGTAGTTATTTGTAAGCCAAAATTTGGACACAGCAATATATTGCAATGTATACACTCACTCTAACAGGAGTTCTTCTCTTTAGGGTATCATCCAAACATACAATCTTCCAGGGTATCAAAAGCTTTAGGGACTAAGGCTGAACCAATCCTCTCTTCCTTGGTTTTCTGTTATCTTTTTTCCAAACTGAGACACAATATTCCATAACTCCTAGAGACCACTGAGGTTGCTCAACCATCATCAGACTTGGGGTTTTTTGGGGTGTGGGGTCTTTATATATATATATATTCTTCTTCATGCCAAGGGAGTTTTCCTGAAAATGCATAAACAATTCCTTTAGTTATGGGTGGACACCTTTCACTTCCAAACTAAACCAGCTGAATTTGATTATGTGGAGAAGCGATACCTTCCATGCAGAAAGTACTAGGCTGTTTTAGGCATCTCCAGTTAAAAGGATTACTGACCTTCTCCTGACATTTTGGAGTTCACTAAATCAAGAAAGGAGGGAGGAGACAATGTGGTTTATTGATCCAACAGAAAAGGTAGCACAACTGAATTTTGAATTACTCTTTTCTAAATTTCCCCTCAAGACGGACCAGTAAGGTCCGAGATGCATTGGGTCAATAAATCCCCCTCTTTAGTCTACTCCCATTAAAAAAAATATCCAGTTTCTTTTGAAGGTGACCCATTTTTGTTGCACTACTAGATCAAGCAATGGTCCAAATGTGTTACTTAGCTTTGTAAATTTGAATGCTACTCTTCTGGCTACGCGGATGAAGAGTTAGGAGGATTGTGCTGAAATTAAGAAAAGTGATAGGGCTAGAAATCATTTCAATTTGAACGATGGAAGATTCTAAGGCAAGTGCTTGCCTTTCTTGCCCTTTAAAGGCTTCATGAAACCTAACATTTTACTTAAAGAAGCACTTGTTTCCCTACCAGACAAATGCTTGCAGTTTCCTGTAATTTGGCCTTCAGTCCTTCTTTTGTTGGATGCCAGGACTTTATATTTTTAGTGGCATGATGGTTTTAATCATAAATTCCTCTTGAGTTATTCCACAGTTGAGTTTAAAGAGCAAGGTGTGAGATCTCCTCTTGTATCTATTTACTGCAAGTTTCTGTTGCAGACATTGCATTGCATTTATTAAAGCCAGTGTACTCTATGAGAAACTCCTCACATCACTGTTAATGTTACGTACATGCGCAAATGAGCAACGCAAAATCACACATTAATGAGCCCAGTCAAATGCTGCTAATAATGTGTGCATATTGTGGTAAGTGTGTTTGCAGAACAGAGAGTTCTAGAAAATCCTATGGCTTTAGCTGTCTGTTAACACCTACAGTATTTCGAAAAAGCAAGCCTGGCTCTGTTTTCCCTAACAGTGCAAAGGAATGACCTTCACGTCCATCACAAAGAATTAATGACTTACGGTCAATGACAGCAACTTGGCTACTGCTCATAAAGAGCAACAAAGCCAACTTCAACATGTTCCCCAAATCAGGCTCTTAGGGAATCAAAGTTATCCAGATTTCCAGTGAGGCACATGGAAGGAATATGTATATCCCGCAATAGCAAAAATAAATAAATTCAGTCAGTAGCTACTGTACATCAGTGGTAGAATATACCATGCATTTATTTATTTTTAAATCTGCTTCTGAAAATTTCACCTACTCCTTACAGACCCACTCACCACACTTTCTTCTGCTTTTCTAGTACAAGCAACTTACGGCATGCACTTTGGGTTGTGTCTCATTACACTCTGGTAACAGATTATATGATAATATGAAGCTGTCACATGTTGAGCCAGACCATTGGCCCCTCTAAAGCGGATGTTGTTGTTTAGCCGTTTAGTCATGTCCGACTCTTCGTGACCCCATGGACCAGAGCACGTCACGCACTTCTGTCTTCCACTGCCTCCCGCAGTTTGGTCAAACTCATGCTGGTAGCTTCGAGAACACTGTCCAACCATCTCGTCCTCTGCCTTCTCCTTGTGCCCTCCATCTTTCCCAGCATCAGGGTCTTTTCCAGGGAGTCTTCTCTTCTCATGAGGTGGCCAAAGTATTGGAGCCTCAGCTTCACGATCTGTCCTTCCAGTGAGCACTCAGGGCTGATTTCCTTAAGAATGGAGAGGTTTGATCTTCTTGCAGTCCTTGGGACTCTCAAGAGTCCCTTCCAGCACCATAATTCAAAAGCATCAATTCTTTGGCTATCAGCCTTCTTTATGGTCCAGTTAATAGCCATAAAGGTAAAGGTAAATGGACCCCTGACCATTAGGTCCAGTCGTGGCCGACTCTGGGACGGAAACGCCGTTTACCTTCTCACCGGGCTGATTTCCTTAAGAATGGAGAGGTTTGATCTTCTTGCAGTCCATGGGACTCTCAAGAGTCTCCTCCAGCACCATAATTCAAAAGCATCAATTCTTCAGCGATCAGCCTTCTTTATGGTCCAGCTCTCACTTCCATACATCAATATTGGGAAAACCATAGCTTTTACTATACGGACCTTTGTTGGCAAGGTGATGTCTCTGCTTTTTAAGATGCTGTCTAAAGTGGATACATCTTGCTTAACCAGACCCTCCATCCTTTTTAGGACAGGGATGGAAAACCTGTGACCCTCCGGATGTTGCTCGACTTCAAGTCCCATCATCCCTGGCCATTGGTCCATGCTGACTGAGAGTCCAACCACACCTGGAGGGTCATAGGTTCACCAACCTTGTTTTAGAGGTGTCCCTCTGGAAGAAAATGGAAGTCTGGTGGAGGAGTTCTATTTACCTGACAATTTTTCATCTGCTGAAGTCATCCCAAACTGCCTGCTGTTGTTTGATGACTGCTTCAAAATCAACTGCAATGCACACATTTCCTCTTGGTTCCTCTTTCTTCTATTTCTGAAGATTCCCCCTGCCCCCAGCAGTCCATAAATTAAACAAGTAATTATCAGCAGGCATGTTGCACCATGCATAAAGATAGGTCAGTATTTTAAAAATTAAAATTAAGTCAGATTAAGTGGATTGCCAACATATCAAAAGGGCCATGAGAATCTGTTGCAAGTGTCTGAACTCTGGATTCACGTGTGCGCAGTACGCACTCGTGTATGTTTATATACACACCGTTGACAAGTTTAGGATCTTTTGCTGGAGTTATGATGTGTGGTTGTTATGGATCTGTTAACCTTATGCTCTCACACGGAGGAATAAAGAAAGCTTGGTTTATTATATAAAACAGGAGTGACAGTATAAAAATGCTGCTTTGGATAGCAATGTTAGAGGCTAAGCAGGTAGCAAACTGCAATACATACACACCTTGATTAAGAAGCAAACGATTCCCTAACTACTGTAAAAGGCCTACAGAAACATGGGCACGACTGTTTTGCCATAAACCCACACTAGAAGTGAGCTTTGAGCAGAGGGGGCAGGAAAGTATATCTGTCCTTAAAGCGTTGCAGAAGTGTGTTGAGTCCTGGGCTCGATCTGGACACATAAAAAAAAAAAAAAGTTTCAGGAAAACATGTTGTAAACCTCATAATGGGAAATCACATTACCAAAATGTGGAGCTCCACAGCGCCATCTGGTGTCACAGTGTTATAACACATTTAAAATGTGTTTGTTTGTTTGTTTACTAATGTAGCTGAGTCCCTGGAAAGTGCTGTGTAAGTCCTGTCCTGCTGGAGCTAGAAGATCTAGCTAAGCTTTGAATGTAAGAGGTTTTTTAATACCTTCCTGCCAGGGCCAGAAATATAATTAAAGAATGAATCAGGGACACAGAATCCCAAATTGATTTTAACTGATCTAAAATTTATAAATCTCAACATGAACCTCAAAGATCCGATCCAGCATATTACGTAGGTGCACTGGATTACCCTAAACATTGTTGGGCATTTTCCAGAGCCCCATTAATGATCTTTCTTCAGCACTAATAGAGGGCAGATATCATGGCATCCCTCGATGGGACGCGGGTGGTGCTGTGGTCTAAACCACAGAGCCTAGGACTTGCCGATCAGATGGTCGGAGGTTCGAATCCCCGCGACGGGATGAGTTCCCGTTGCTCGGTCCCTGCTCCTGCCAACCTAGCAGTTTGAAAGCACGTCAAAGTGCAGGTAGATAAATAGGTACCGCTCCAGCGGGAAGGTAAACGGCGTTTCTGCGCGCTGCTCTGGTCTGCCAGAAGTGGCTTAGTCATGCTGGCCACATGACCCAGAAGCTGTACGCCGGCTCCCTCGGCCAGTAAAGAGAGATGAGCGCCCCAACCCCAGAGTCAGTCACAACTGGACCTAATGGTCAGGGGTCCCTTTACCTTCACCTATCATGGCATCCCAGTTGAACAAAGATTATGCTCATGCAACTCTAATGAGACATTTATCTATACTGCCCATTGTATCGTGATACCCTAAGAGAGCTAATTCAACCATTATTAAGGAAATTACGTGGCTGCTTAGAGGAAATTTATGTTAAATACCTTCTTGCCGATAAAGATCTGGATATCATCAGCTCCGTCGCGAATTGCTGTTTCATGGCAACAAGGACTAAACAGGTTGCGGTGACAGTGATGGTTGGTGAATGAGTACTGATTTTAATCTCTGGAATATAGACGTTACCTAAAGGAGTGCTATTTTCAATGTAAATAAGTTTACAGATAATTTTTAATTACGTCTGCTTCTTGATGCAGATGTGGCATATGTTGCTGTTGTTAACTTCGCTGTCTGGTGTTTGACCGCAATAAAGATTGATTGATTGAATACCTTCTTACCAAGGCTTGCTAGTGGAGAGGGGAGGTGAACGGAGTGATTTCTATGATTTCCGTAGTTCCTCCCAGAATTTCCTGCCCAGTTTTCACCTCGTCTTTGATTGTTGTTGTTTAGTCGTTTAGTCGTGTCTGACTCTTCATGACCCCATGGACCAGAGCACACCAGGCCCTCCTGTCTTCCACTGCCTCCCGCAGTTTGGTCAAACTCATGCTGGTAGCTTCGAGAACACTGTCCAACCATCTCATTCTCTGTCGTCCCCTTCTTCTTTGCCCTCAATCTTTCCTAATATCAGGGTCTTTTCCAGGGAGTCTTTTCTTCTCATGAGGTGGCCAAAGTATTGGAGCCTCAGTTTCAGGATCTGTCCTTCCAGTGAGCACTCAGGGCTGATTTCCTTAAGAATGGAGAGGTTTGATCTTCTTGCAGTCCACGGGAATTTCAAGAGTCTCCTCCAACACCATAATTCAAAAGCATCAATTCTTTGGCTATCAGCCTTCTTTATGGTCCAGCTCTCACTTCCATACATCACTACTGGGAAAACCATAGCTTTTACTATATGGACCTTTGTTGGCAAGGTGATGTCTCTACTCATCAATTCTTCTGTGATCAGTCTTTGATAGGGAACCATTATCTGTACCTGGCCATCTTTGTCTGCTATCTGATTTCAAATCCTCTTACTATTGTGGGAGTGGATCCCATTGAGGAGTTGAGTATCCTATACTTGGCAACTAAATTTTCATGTGTTAATCTTTAGGTCAGTTGTGGGTGAACTCAGTAATATGCCTGAATGTCTTTAATGGAGCAGGCTGGGGTCAGGCTTGTTCCAGAGTCACCAAAGTTCATCATGGAGGGTCTCCTGTCATATTAGAGCTATGTCAACCTTGTTATTAATGTCATGCTCTACAGCGATAAACCATGGAAATAAGTTCAGACTGACACACACCCATTACAAACCTGCTCTTTGTGCAAGCTTCCCTCCATGTTGCATGCCTTGTTGAGAAGCATAAACAAACAGCATCACTTATGTATGGCACATGCATACAAAGTTTCTTTTGCCTGTAAAATGCATGAGCATAAAGGTCCACATCTTTATACTTACACATGTGTGTTTTCCATTCCCTGGGTCAAGGCAGAACCAGATGAAGCCATGGGCAGGTATACTTGGAAACTACAACTAATCTAGAACGCGGCAGCTAGACTGGTGACTGGGAGCAGCCGCCGAGACCACATAACACCGGTCTTGAAAGACCTACATTGGCTCCCAGTACGTTTCCAAGCACAATTCAAAGTGTTGGTGCTGACCATTAAAGCCCTAAACAGCCTCGGTCCAGTATATCTGAAGGAGCGTCTCCACCCCCATCGTCCTACCTGGACACTGAGGTCCAGTGCCGAGGGCCTTTTGGTGGTTCCCTCACTGCGAGAAGCCAAATTACAGGGAACCAGGCAGAGGGCCTTCTCGATAGTGGCACCCGCCCTGTGGAACGCCCTCCCACCAGATGTCAAAGAGAACAACAACCACCAGACTTTTAGAAGACATCTGAAGGCAGCCCTGTTTAGGGAAGCTTTTAATGTTTGATGTATTACAGTATTTTAATATTTTTTTGGAAGCCGCCCAGAGTGGCTGGGGAAGCCCAGCCAGATGGGCGGGGTATAAATAATAAATTATTATTATTATTATTATTATTATTATTATTACTACTACTACTACTACTACTACTACATGAATCTAGCTCAGAGTCCTCAAGGAACAGGAGATAATAATAATAATAATAATAATAATAATAATAATAAATTTTATTTATATCCCACCCTCCCCAGCCAAAGCTGGGCTCAGGGCGGCTAACAACGATCAAATAAGCTGAAGGCTAAAGTCTCTAATACAAAAGATAACATGCAAATTCGTCTTAAGTTCTGGCCCACGATTACCAGTACTTGAGCATTTTTATAATAGATTTACAATTGGTACCACTTCCTTTTCGACCCATTTTTTACTTCCCCTCCATTACTGAGCTTACGTTTTAGTGTTACTTGAAGCCTTGGGGTGCTTTGAATTGGAAGCCAAGTCTTCACAATTTGGCTTGCATCCTCTAAGTGGTTTGGCTGTGTTAAAGGATGAATGTACCTTAACTGCCGATTACTTGACATCTAGGCAAAGATTCAAACTCCATGCTTTGGCCTGTCACTAATAAAAGCATAGTCAAACCACAAGTTTTCAAATCCTACAATCTAATGCCAAACATTGGTGATTGTGTTGATATTTATTAAGAAGCCTTTCTGGAAAATATAGCTTTTGTGCATTTACCAGATCAGTATAGATGTATGTGTTAAAAAAGGAATGAATAAATCATCTAACAAAAAGTGCTTCAAACATAACTAGGAATCCTGACACACTGCACAGGCCCAAGTATTCTTACGGAATTCTGCAAAGTTCAAGTCAAAGAGAAGTCATCATCCTAATTTTATATGCCAGCTGCTCCAGGAATAGCTACAAATTAAGAGTCCATACAGAGAACTGACTAAAGCTGAAATGAATTTGCTTCCTAAGTTTGCCCTTCCTGCAGCACTATCCATCCCCTCCCACTTTGCCAACAAGGATTGGCAGAGAGGAGGCAGTAGGAAGCAAAAGCTTCAAGCAAGAACATGAGAAGCACTCTTTTCCAACGAGATGTGATGGGAAAGTCGCTCAGAGCATCATCTGGCTGCTCCCATCTTCACCAGATCCTACACACACACCCCCAAATGCTACCCTTGCCTCAAGGCAGTTTTGCATTATACGATGCTGCTGTTCTAACCGAACAACTTTTCAATAAAATGCAAGTTGTTGTTGGGGGTGTGTGCATGTGCGTGTAATAAACAAATAAATAAATGAATGAATAACTGTCCAAATACTAATCTGAATTTTGAATTTCTCATTAAAATTTGAATGGCAGAATCAGAAAATGTTGGCAAATCTGAAATACTGGGCAATATTTTCCCACAATGCCTGTCAGGCCATAGTGACAATTCATGTTTCCATGAAGAAAAATATGATTACTGCGCAACAAGTAAAGAGAGCCTGAAGATGGATTCCAATCATCTTGGGACACACCTAATAGTATAATTGCTCAATACCTAATAATCCTGTCTATCTGAAAGGAAGTGAAGAAAAGCAGATGGAAAAGAAAACTCAATAAGCCAGCTCAATTTGCCAGAAAGGGATTGTTTATCTTCAAAATGAAGGTCACAAGCTAGACAACGCTGCAACTTTTCAAAGAAAACTGAACTTGTATGCAGGCCTGGGCTTTGTCAATTGCAGTTACATGTCCATTTATTGTGGTGTGAAATCATTTTATTAAAGTAGTGAAACAGTTTTTCACTCTTCCGCTATTCAAATCCAACAGAGACTTGCTGTTTAATTTCATTTCTTCGCTCACTACTGTGCCCTGTGAACTTGGAATTGGTTTTATCATTTCAGCTTTCTTGGTCTGGGGTTCTGATCTATGTCATAGTCAGGAAAGAAGCACATGAACAAAATGATCAAGGTAAAATTGGGTGCCAGAAGAAGTCAATTTGCAGATGTAGCAGGAACAGGGAGGAGTCACCAGGTTACAATCGCGTTACACTGAGGACCTTATCCTTTAAATACTTGATATATTCCAAAATCCTGAGACGAGACAGAAAACTTCAGATACTATGTGACTCATACCATACAAAAACACATGCAGTTCTATACCATGGTCAATGATCTATAGAAACTGGCATTTCTGTGTGAATTTTCAAACGAGGCAGAACTGAGGAGCCTAACCTCACTTTTCAAATATTAATCTAGATAAATTATAGCCTAATTCTGTGCATGTTTGCTCATAGGTCTCACTGATCAGAGGGTGAGCATATTTGTTTCTACACATCTCTAGCGTTTTTTAAAGACCACTGTTGATTCAGAATTAGGTCACAGCTCAACGGAAAGGTTTCTTGCACAAAATCACAATCATTTCAAGATGGTTTGTGCATTGTGACAAGATTGCCTTGAATCGGTCCTGAAAGGTGATAATGGCGACAAGGACTTTTATCGTTATTTAAAGCATTTGAGAAAATACTGTATGTCTGCTTCGCTATTTTTGTGAATTTATGAATGAAGGTGTGGCAGTAATGTATCAGAAGAAGAAGAAGAAGTCATTGAATCATTTTTTTTTTACATTTTTATCTCTGCCTTTTCTTTCAAATACAGTGGTACCTTGGGTTAAGAACTTAATTCGTTCCGGAGGTCCGTTCTTAACCTGAAACTGTTCTTAACCTGAAGCACCACTTTAGCAAATGGGGCCTTCTGCTGCCACTGCGCCGCTGGAGCACAATTTCTGTTCTCATCCTGAAGCAAAGTTCTTAACCCGAGGTAATATTTCTGGGTTAGCGGAGTCTGTAATCTGAAGTGTATGTAACCTGAAGCATATGTAACCCGAGGTACCACTGTAGAATACTAGCAGAAAGGGCCCAGCATTGCTGAGAGCTTATTCAAAAGTAGTGCTAAGCAGTTCCTTGTGAAAGCAGAATGAATTCCACTTACACAGGGGCGCTAACTATAGGGGGTGGAAGGGGCTTTGGCCCCCTCAATATTTGTGGACAGGGGGCCAACCCCCCAATATTAAGGGGGTGCACCAAACAGATCAACCTCCCACCTGCAAACACGCCCTCCGAGTTCCCCATCCCCCACTCATAGCTGTCAACATTTCCCTTTTTTTAAGGGAAATTCCCTTATTCTGAATAGGATTCCTCGCAAGAAAAGGGAAAAGTTGACAGCTATGCCCCCACTGCTGATGGGTGAATGCTTGTGTGCCAGGCAGGGGCAGCGTGTGGACTCTTTGGGCTCTCCAGCCCCTGCCACCAGCAGGGAGCAATGGGGAGCTCTGAGGGGGACACCTGGTTCGCGGGGGACCCCAGATTGCACTCCTGGGGAAATGGCCCCCCTGGCATCCCCCACCCAGCGCATGTTCTGGTTATCTCCTGCTTGGACTACTGCAATGTGTTGTACGTGGGGCTACCTTTGAAGGAGACTCGGAAACTACAACTAATCCAGAATGTGGCAGCTAGACTGGTGACTGGGAGCAGCTTCTCGGACCATATAACACCGGTCTTAAAGGATCTACATTGGCTCCCAGTATGTTTCCGAGCACAGTTCAAAGTATTGGTGCTGACCTTTAAAGCCCTAAATGGCTTTGGCCCTGTATACCTGAAGGAGAATTCTGCCCGGACACTGAGGTCCAGCTCCGAGGGCCTTCCAGTGGTTCCCTCTCTGTGAGAAGTGAAGTTACAGGGAACCAGGCAGAGGGCCTTCTCAGCAGTTGCACCTACCCTGTGGAACGCCCTGAGATCAGATGTTAGGGAAATAAACAAGTATTATAATATATCAGACAATATCAGACAATCCAGGGAAGTTTTTAATGTTTGATGTTTTATTGTGTTTTTAATATTCTGTTGGGATCCACTCAGAGTGGCTGGGGCAACCCAATCAGATGGACAGCATATAAATAATAAAATTATTATTATTATTATTATTATTATTTAGAGTAGAACCTTAATATCCAGGACCAAAGCTGGAAGAGAAGGATTCTGTGGACACATTCCAAACAGAATTGTTTTTTCATGGGGTAGCCTAAAATTGCCTTACAGAGAATACACACACCCACCCACCCACACACACACACACCCCATGCTATGTTTTAAATGGCACCAAGCAGTGATTGAAGTAGAAATATACTAACTACCAGAGCTTCATGGTTTTGTAGAGCATTCTGAGGATTGGCTGACTTATGGTATCATGGACTGAAATATGTAAGCGGGCTTTTTGGCAAAGTCTGCCATACATATGGGAATAGCACAAGGCCTGGAAGTTGTTCCACTGCCTGCTTCAGATTGACAAGAAGCACTAAGCAGCTCACAGCCAAGTGCTTTCCAGTACAATGATCATTTTGTTCAGCATTTCACTGTAGCAACAAAGCACTTCAAAAGAAGCAGTAAACAAACAATGTCCTGCAAAGATGAGGAAAATAAGATTATCGCCACAATTTTGAGTCCACACAAAAGATCAAATGGGTTGAACAGGGCGAAAAAAGAACTAAAAGTGAATCTCAGAGGTGCTGTATATACAGTGGTACCTTGGGTTACATACGTTTCAGGTTACAGACGCTTCAGGTTACAGACTCCGCTAACCCAGAAGTAGTGCTTCAGGTTAAGAACTTTGCTTCAGGATGAGAACAGAAATTGTGCTCCGGCGGCACGGCAGCAGCAGAAGGCCCCATTAGCTAAAGTGGTGCTTCAGGTTAAGAACAGTTTCAGGTTAAGTACGAACCTCCGGAATGAATTAAGTACTTAACCCGAGGTACCACTGTACTAGGAGTGTGCCTTTGCTCTGTTTGGGGGCTGAACAATAAGGTGAATTGGGACGATTTGGGGGTCTTTCCTCTTCCTGACATGCTAATTGTAAGATGGATCAGGACCCCACAAAGATTTGTGTCGAAGTGAACTACCTAAATTGTATACAAACTTATTCATGTATGCGGCTACAGTGGCAATGATTTTATTTGCCCCAAAATGGAAAGAAGAAGGATGTCCACTCTCCAGAAGTTCTGGAGCTGACTGAGGACTCTCAGGTAAGTTCCATCCTCTCTTGTGTGTGCAGGAGGGTCCTAACCCTACCTGGTCAACTCCCCTGGCAACACCACCCCAGCTGGGATTGGTTAACTGTCTGAGGTTAGGTGGTAACCTCCAGGTATCCAGCTTGGGGAGGCGAAGCCAGTCTGACTTGCTTGGGAATTGTGTAGGGCCAGGGGGCTTCACACAACCACACAAAAAGCGCCCCCCATTTGAAGTGGGGAGTGGTCAGTGCCCGAAAATGGAAAGAAGAAGAAGTCCTGATAAAAGAAGAATGGATGCAAAAACTTATGGAATATGCAGAAATGGCAAAACTTACCGGGAGAATAAGGGACACAGGTGGCGCTGTGGGTAAAACCTCAGCGCCTAGGACTTGCCGATCGCATGGTCAGCGGTTCGAATCCCCGCGGCAGGGTGCGCTCCCGTCGTTCGGTCCCAGCGCCTGCCAACCTAGCAATAGATAAATAGTAGATAAATAGGGACCGCTTACCAGCGGGAAGGTAAACGGTGTTCCGTGTGCTGCGCTGGCTCGCCAGATGCAGCTTGTCACGCTGGCCACCTGACCCGGAAGTGTCTGCGGACAGCGCTGGCTCCCGGCCTATAGAGTGAGATGAGCGCACAACCCTAGAGTCTGGCAAGACTGGCCCATATGGGCAGGGGTACCTTTACCGGGAGAATAAGAAATCAAGATAACAAACTTTTTATAAAATAATGGAAATGGTTTATTGAATATTTACAGATAAATTGTAAACAGATAAAAACACTGGAAGGATTGTTGTAATAACCTGCAGTATATATTTAAGAGTATATATTTAAAGAAGATAAATAAATAATAATAATAATAATAATAATGAGTAAGTTAAGTTAATTTGGATATGCAGAAGATATTAAAAATAAATTTAAGGAACCGCAGAAAAAGGGGGAAGGAAGTCAAGTTTTAAAATGTCAAAATGATTGTAAAATCAGTGAAATGTATATATCTGAAAAGTAATTTTTTAAGGGAAAAAAAGGTGTTAGAACTCACCATGAAGTTGTTACAGTCAATGCAACACTTCTTAACCAAAAAAAGAGGGGGGGGGCGCCAGTACTGCGTACTCTTGAGTACCCCCTGAAAAAAGCACTGGATGTATCTGATGTTTTTGTTCTGTTTTGAAGAAAGTTCTGCAAATACAGTGGAACCTCTACCTGCAACCATAATCCGTTCCGGAGGTCCGTCCGGAGGTCAAAACGGGTCACTGGGAGAGGCGTCATTGTGCGCGGGTGGCAATTACCCGCTTCTGCGCATGTGCACCGGTTACTTCCAGGTTTGCCATAGACGTTGGGCAAAATGGATACAAGTGGAGGCAGACGTAAGAAGAGGTCTGACTGTAAAGCTTTGAGTCAAACCTATGTGCCTGGGTAATGTTTTATTCCAAAAGGAATCAATTTTTACGCAGCAAGCCACTTCAAGCGGTGCCATGTTAATATCTGCAATAGAGTGGCCTTATATGTGGCCTTCCAGGAGTGGGCAAATAATGCCTATTTAAGGTGGTGCATGTGTCAATTTACCCATCTACCCCAGCAGCAGAATAGGATTAACTAGTAAGGAGATCTGTGCATGTAATCAGGATCCCACAGGCAAATCCTGTGCTATTTCAAGGTCATAAGCATCTAATGCCACTTCCAATGGGCTTGCATTGAATATGCAGTCACATTTTAGTGCGTGTAAACATGCCTTTAAAAAAAACCCAACCAACCATGATTATGACTGGCTCAAGAACAACTGTGTGTTTTAACTGGGCCTTCTTCTGGCACTTCTTAAATGTGCTTTAAGAGAGATTAAAATCTTTTAAGTATATCCAAAATAGCTGCTGGGATGTAGAGTCTAACATAAGTTTTCTATACTTTTGTGGCATGACATTTGAGAATCTTTAATATTAACCAGCACAGGACTCTGTTAAATTCATATCTCCATCTTGCTGAAATCTCATTACAAAGGTTAAGGTTGCTTGCCTTGGACTGGAAGGTTTATAAAGGCATTAAGGCATGAAATTATAAGCAGCATCTCAACGAATGGGTGCACAGATATCTTTATTTACCAAGTGGATTCTTACCAGAGGGTGCCACACACATACAGGCAATTATTATGTAATGGTAATGTCACTATCTCACAAGGCTGGGGAGATTGCTCTGTGCTTCATGCTTTGCCATGCCCAGAAGGTGGAATTACAATAATGTTTTCATTTATTTCTGCTGCTTTTATAAGCCCTCAAGTGGAAAATAATCCAAAGCAGTGGATATAGGCTCAAGTTGTTATTAATCATTGAAGGGTAAACATTCTTCTTATTGGGCATTGCTGATACCACTAACTGTCATCGTTTCCCTCAAGGAATTCTGGGAATGTGAGTTTGGTGAAGTCTTGAGGAATCTGATAGAGTTTCTTGGACCCTCTCCACCACACACAAAATTCCAGTTTCCTTGAAATGTCTGTTAAACTGGTTTAAGTCTGCAGTGTAGATATCTCCAGTGTAACTTCTAAACCTAGACCTTACAAAGATCTAGGCTAAGCAATATGCTTAGGTAAACTTGTTACTTCAAGCACAAATGGAATTCAGGACGGCTGCATCAGCAGATGCATCTTCGAAAGTTTGTCATGGTGCCTTCACATTTTAGTGACTTTGATGATTGTCCAGACTTTATCCCCATGACTTAGATGATTTCTCAAGCTTTTTATAAACATTCAAGCCTTTGCTCATCGAGGTCCCCAAGACACCCCCCAAAGAAAAACACAACTGACACTTAATTTTTGTTTTTGGCATAATTTTGGCCACAACTTTATTCAAATCACAGCAATGTGAGTGGTTGCTTAGGCATTGGTAGCACTAACTGACCCCGCACGGGGACAGCTCTGACATTCGCACCCCCCGTGAAGTCAGCAAGGGTAAGTCACCTGGGGAGAGAGACAGGACTGGGAACCGTGCCTCACCTCTCCCCAGAATGCTCCCAGGGGCTTGCGTGGCCCTAGCCCCTTGCCAGGGGGTTTCGGACAAAAGCATGGGGAGCCCCTGGGTTCCTTTAATGGAAAACCCTTGCAGCAGCAGCAGCATTTTGGAGGGGCAGGCACAGCCGAATCCATACCCCTCCACCAACCAATTCCCAAACCAATGCCTAACCGCAACCTTACAAGTTGTGGCGATTTGCTACGCAGTAGGCAAAAACCAAATGGCACCAGCCAATCAGCCAAATGGACAAAATTCCTACCGGGCCCCTGCCCCAAAGCAGACGACCCCATGACAGGCATAGCAAGGTCAAGCAAACAGCCTAACATTAGGGAAGGGAGGGCGGGTGATCCGAAGAAAGCAGCAAAAGAGGAAGTTCCTCGCTGCGTGCAGTGTATTTAACAAATAGGGCTGTCAATCAATAAATGGCAACATATAAATCTCCCCAGTAACAGCCCGCCCCTGCTTAAAGATGGCCAAACTCTTTTGCCCAGCAACAGTGAGGTGCCTTGTCATCCCCAACCGCAACCCATGCTCTCCATGAGGGAGAACACGCTTTACAAGGCAGTGGGTTGGACCCAAAGAACCCCTGCATATGTACCAAGGAGGTTCGTACCCTTCTTTTATCAAGGAGGGGACTCATATCAACCTGACGTAATGGTTGAAGTAGGAAGCAAAGGCCATTGATGGGGGCAGAGAGGGGCCCACTCTGAAGCATGCTGGATGAGGACAGACCCCAGCAGACTCCAAAGGGAAGCTCTCACCACTTCCTCTGTTGGGGTGAGAGGAGACCAGCAGTGCCTCTTATTGGCCAAGAGGCCACTGTGGAGGCAGCATTTGTTGGGAAGGGACTTCTGCTGAGTTGGTAGATCTGGCCTCCAAAGAGCACATCACAGCTGTTCCTGCCACTGTGGGAGATGCAGCAGTTGTATTCCTTGAGGACCAGATGTGCTGCCCTGTGGATCCTGATGCCCAAGGCAGTCATGTCACATTGCCTCATGGGTGGACCAGCCCTGGATGTCAGGGACTGGGCAGAGGATGAATGGTGGAGACTGCCTTCCCAGCCAGACCCTTTCAGAGAAGCAGAAAACAGTTCAGAATTACAACAGGGGTTTGAGGGAGATCACAGCTCAGAGGAAGATGAGGGGGAAAGTTGAGAAATAATGGAAGAGGAAGAGGAGGTAGAGCTGGAGCAGCTGGCTGACACGTTATCACTAGAAAGCATTCCGGATCCACCATCTCCCAGAACCCGGCGAGCCTTAAAAGTAGGAAAGCAAAGGCCTCAGAAGCAAAGGGCCCTCAGCGCCACCCGTAGAAGAGACGATGAATGAGGAAGTGGCAGAGAAGGGGAGGAGAGATTTACTCGGGACAACGCCATTATTCCAAGAGGCTACATTCCCAAGCCTCTCTCTGTAAATATTGAATAAAAACAGATGGTTTTATTCAATTTACTCGTCTTACCTGTTCCTGGCAACCTGCCATGGAGGTTGGTTCCTCTGCCGCCTGACACTGGGGTAGTCAATACATAGATGGATAAACTAATGTTTTGACACAGTATAAGGGAGTTTTCGAGGGATGCGGGTGGTACTGTGGGTTAAACCACAGAGCCTAGGACTTGCCAATCAGAAGGTCGGCAGTTCGAATCCCCGCGATGGGGTGGGCTTCCGTTGCTCGGTCCCAGCTCCTGCCAACCTAGCAGTTCAAAAGCACATCAAAAGTGCAAGTAGATAAATAGGTACCGCTCCAGCGGGAAGGTAAACAGCGTTTCCGTGCGCTGCTCTGGTTCACCAGAAGCGGCTTTGTCATGCCAATAAAGCGAGACAAGAGCCGCAACCCCAGAGTCTGTGACGACTGGACCTAATGGTCAGGGGTCCCTTTACCTTTACCTTAAGAGAATTTTCTATGTTCTATGCATGGCTATGACTCACTACGGAGCAAAAATATTGCCCTTCACTTGGGGACAATTTTGGAGTCTGGGCAACAAGGTGGAGTCTGCCTGCTCTGCAGCAACAGGCAACCAATGAAGAATGCAGAGAAAAGCATTGTCCCATCACAAGGGGCCCCTGAAATGCCATTCCCTCCACATGCAACACGCATAATAAGGATGGGCATTTTGCTAGTGTAATCTTTAAAAGATTTTCCACTACACAGTTTATTTCCTTGGCAGAACGGCATCCTCAAACCGCAACCCTTTTTGCATTATTTCCAATTATTTTCCGTCTTGATGAAAATCAAGAAGGGCTGTTTTGGCATACGATGGGAAAGAACCCAGTTCATAGGCTGGCTTCTAGTTTTAGAAAGTACTTTGTTCAGTGAGCATTAGAGGATTTGGAAATCAAGGTGGCACAAATCTCCCAATTGGTTTAGATTTGGGGGCCGTACCTACAACTTAGTAGGGACATTTATGTATTTCACAATTTTATTTGTCTTCAATGTATAGATTTACCACATCCATTACTGGGTGCCTGAATGCTTTTCAAAGGCCAATAGTAGTTTGGAACGGATGCTCTGCTTCAAATCTCTCTGATTGCATTATAACTGAACTCTGAAATTGCTTTCCATACATGAAAATGTGTTTTAGTTTATTCTTAATAAAGCTGTTCATTGTGCCAAATGGCCTTTAAACCCTCTCTCCACACACACTCCACCCATCATAATGAGGTGCACGTTACTCATAATAATGGCAATAACAATATTCATTTTTGCTTTTGCTGTTGTTGTTAACAATGCGTTCAAAGTTCTTCATGTTTGTTATATCAGCTGATCCTAACAAGAAGGTGATGGTCCATTTTTACTTTCGCCAAGTGGACAAAAATATCACCAGGTGATGTCACAAAACCCACAGACACACCCATATCTCAAAATCAGAACTTGTTGGCTCCCAAAAAGTTTGTTTTTTGCATGGTGGACAAAAACTAGTTAAAATAAGACCTACAGAGCCTCAGCTCCTAGTGTATATTTTTAATGACAAGTTTCAACTGGAAGGTTTTTCTTTTTCCGTTCCTCCTGCTTAGCAGAGACCTTGCCAGACATTCATTCAAAGTCATAGTCTTTCCCGCCATGGTTCAGTGCATGTCTGTAAGTACAGAGTGGAATGAAACACAAACCCCCAAATTGCATCAGAAAGCATTCACTTTATTGCATAGAGGATTAGCTGCATGCCGAGCAAATTTTGGCTATACTTCATCTTAGCTGTTGAATGAATTTTATAGCTCCTCTTACCAGTCACAAATGATGTCCAGCCATCAACTGTTTCAGTTAAACTACGTTTCCAGGCCCCACTGATAGCAACTTAAGTCTCCTCCTTAGTTTTCCATGGTGGTATCAATAATCCTATCTTTGTGGAGTCCAAGATTTTAGACTGTTAAGTTATGGGTGAACATATCAGACGACACAGCAGTTCTTCAAACAGCTCTTGTTTATTCTCAGGCCCAGAACAGAACTGAAGGGTTCAGCCAACCTGCTTATATAGAGCTCAACTACAAAGCAACAGTAACAACTTTCTGTAACTATCCAATCACTGAACGTTACTTTCAATTCCTTATTTGCATATGTGGACCTGAGTGAAAACTATCTACAGTATCCCCCTGCTGGCCCAGGGTAGGACTTCAGTCAATAACAGAGACCTTCCTTTCTAATAAGCACCTTTATTAGCTGGGCATGGGGGTTACTGATCCCATTCTGCCAAACCCGTCCTACAAGGCTGAGAGAAAATAATCCCAGGAGTAAAGAGACTGGGCCTACTCTTCCTATACCTTCTTTAAAAGAATGGTGAAAAACAGCCCCATATTAAACAGTCTCCACTATTTTGCCCTGTCCATTACATCCAAGTCTAAAGTTATCCTTGGTAGATCAAAGCTTGTTGTTGTTGTTTAGTCGTTTAGTCGTGTCCAACTCTTCGTGACCCCATGGACCAGAGCACTCCAGGCAGATCAAAGCTAGGTGTGTGTGAATCTGTCAATGTCAGTTTTTCTCTGTTGCTCATTTTTCTAATCTTAAATCCAATTCTCCACATTTCCATATCAGTTTAAGGATCGTTTTTAATGTCATCAGCATTTTAGCATGAATTTCTCCTACGTTTCTGCGTGGAATTTTGCCTAATACTGTATACATGTTTTTGCAGAGCAACCTTCCCTAATCCAGGGCTTTCCCCCAATAAGATATGCATGTTTCTGCACACATTAGACTAGTATATGCATTTTGTCCCCTTCATGGATCACTGCCTTGAATAAGGGGTGAAGGGGCTTGAATAACTCAGAGAAGCTATGAACTATGCCATGCAGGGCCACCCAAGACGGACAGGTCATAGCCGAGAGTTTAGACTAAATGTGATCCACCTGGAGAAGGAACTGGCAAACCACTCCAGTATTTTGCCAAGAAAATTCCATGGACATAAAAAAGGATAAGCTTTGAGAAGAAACTGAGAGTTTCCAAGGCATGGTCTGGTCCATGGGGTCACAGAGAGTCGAACACAACTAAGACGACTAAACAACAATAACAATACATTTTGTACACATTACCTGACTGGAGAACGGCACCACAAAATTCAGAGATGTGAGAATTTAAAGAGATGTGTGTTTCAGTTGGCATATTGTTTTGGAAAGCATAACTTGGGAAAGTTCACTTTTAAATGAGAACTGAGCCACATTTCTCGCCCAGAAAAAAATCCAGATAAAAGCATTTGCGTGTTCACACCCAGAGACCTCCCTCCTAAATAAAGACACATTTGACTCAAATTTTAGTTTTGGTTTTTGGCAGAATTTAGGCCACAACTTTATTGATTACAGAAAAGTGAGTGGTTGCATAGGCTCTGGTTCGACTAGCTCCCTGCACCCTTGCAGGTAGCGCTGACCCAGAGCTCTATCATAGGTCAGCCAAGGGTGAACACCTGAGGAAGGTGAAAAGCCCGGGAACAGACTCTGTCCACTGCCCAGATGCTCCCCTGGACTCAGGCATGGGCACAACCCTTTTTCGGGGGTTGGCCAAACCAAGTTGAGTCCCTAGATTCCTTTAATGGAATACCCTTCACATAGGGATGGCAAGACCGTTCTCCCTTCCCTATCACCTGAACCAGAGTCTATCCGCAACCTTACAAGTTGTGACGAATTGCTACACGGCAGGCGAAACTCAAATGGCAACCGCCAATCAGCCAAGTGGGGGAAATTCCTGCCGTGCCCCTGTCCCAATGACACACGACGGCATAGCAAGGTCAATTGCAAAAGGCCCTAAAATTAGGGAGAGGTGGGCGGGTGTTCCGATGCACAAGCCGAAAGAGGAAGCTCTGGGTCATGTGCATAGGTATATATAGGTCCCTCGATCCATTTAGACTGCACCCCATTGGCCAGATTAAACCCAGCAACGAGGGACCTACCAATCAGGTGTTGTGGCTATCCAATGGACCCACCCACAACCAAGAGGTCAGTCTCCAGATCTCACCGCAATACGTCCCCTCTTTTAGGGAGGACACACTCTCTGACCCTCAGATCATGAGGTGAGGTCTTGGTGGTGGTGCTGCCACTGGAGACTGTCCCATTGGCATGGACCCATGACAGGGCCTTTTCCGTGGTGGTTCCCCATTTCTGGAAAGCCCTTCCTGGTGCAGTGTGTCTATCTCCATCTAAAAACATTTCTGTTTACCCAGGCATTTGATGATTAAAGATACTCTTCTTGGCAACCCTGAAATCACTTGTTCAGAGATTATTTTTAACTGTTTTTTATAATGCCTTAAAAATGTTTTCAATATTGATGTGCTTGCCACTCCAGGCTCCTCTGGAAGAGCTGGTTATAAATTGACTGAAATAATAATAATAATAATTGGAGAAGCAATTGCGCAAATCCAATACACACATGCTTTATCTATATTCAGTGTACTTTAGTTTACCATAAACATTCCTTCCTTTCTGAACTGCTGACATAGTTATTGCAGGACTAGGGGATAATTACTGCATTCTGAACATTTATAAAAGCTATTCTTCACAAATAGATACTGATGAAATCCAATTGCTACAATCCCATTGTCTCTCACGTTTGCTTAAGATATGAGATCAAGCTGCTTTGTTTATTGTGGAAGGTTTCTAAAATTAAACAGGGAGGCCTGTTAATATGTTTGAAATTAAATCCCACATCTGCTTGAAAGAAAACAGTCACCAGGGCTGGCACACCAGAGTCAGCAAATGCAGGCCACATGAGCAACAAATGTAGAATGCTAAAATAAATTCAAAAGAGACCTTCCAACCTTAGATACCTCTGAGATTGGAGCAAAAAAAATGGCAGCTGTCTTTGGATACAGAAAAGCCGTTTGAATTGTTTTTTCAAGGAGTGTCTCCAAATAGAGCAATTTATTTTATCATGCACATTCCAGAAATACCAGAATTCTAGAGCAAATATTAGAAGTTACATGAGACCATCACTGCCTGGAATGAGAAAGCTGCCTGATGTTATAAAGATGTTCTTTCAAAAGAAAGGAGGGAAAATGAAGCAAATAGATAGTAGAAACTAGACAGCATCTTAAAAAGCAGAGACATCACCTTGCCAACAAAGGTCCGTATAGTAAAAGCTATGGTTTTCCCAGTAGTGATGTATGGAAGTGAGAGCTGGACCATAAAGAAGGCTGATCGCCGAAGACTTGATGCTTTTGAATTATGGTGCTGGAGGAGACTCTTGAGAGTCCCATGGACTGCAAGAAGATCAAACCTATCCATTCTTAAGGAAATCAGCCCTGAGTGCTCACTGGAAGGACAGATCCTGAATCTGAGGCTCCAATACTTTGGCCACCTCATGAGAAGAGAAGACTCCCTGGAAAAGACCCTGATGTTGGGAAAGTTGGAGGGCACAAGGAGAAGGGGACGACAGAGGACGAGATGGTGGGACAGTGTTCTCGAAGCTACCAGCATGAGTCTGACCAAACTGCGGGAGGCAGAGGAAGACAGGAGCGCCTGGCGTGCTCTGGTCCATGGGGTCATGAAGAGTCGGAGACGACTAAACGACTAAACAACAACAACAATAGAAACAGACATGATGCACCACAATGACTGCTTCTGTGGACTGTGGCTGAACAGCCAGTAGATAATTCTAGGTGGGAGTTTCTATTCCTTGGGAAGGAGGCACTGGGAACTCCAGGAAATGTTCAAGATGGAACTGGAAGTTGAGAAGAAACATTTTTTCTTGAACGAATTAGCCATACAAGCACAACTTTACATGAATAACACAACACTTTTATTTTATTTTATATTTAGTGTGTGGGGAATAGATGGTTTTATTATCTACAGAAACTTTCGCTCCAGAAAACTGATATATGAGCTACACAGGATGATGGTATTATGAAGGAGCCCCTCTAAGGTACTGCACTGCTTTTGATTGTAAACATTTGCAGTACTAAAATTAAGTGACTGCAACCTAATGGCTCCAAGTCTCTGTTTGGATGTGTTTGAATTTTACACGAGCTTTGTAAAGGGCAAAATTATACAACCAAGTCCCCTCACTGTCTTTAATTAAAAGTATATGCATCTCTGAAGGGTTGCAAATTGTTATTATAGAACTGTGTTTGCAAACATGGCAGACTTTGGAAAAGCTGGATTTCAGAAGCTGAACTCGAGATGGGTGGAACACTCTGGAGAAATCTCACTAGTATTATCAAACTTTTTACATACTTTAGCATTCCTTGGGTGTTTCACCCTAACCCTAACCCTCCACATTCATCTTGAAATTTCACTTTAGGGAAAACTCAGTAGCAACCCAGAAATCTGTGGGAAATGATCCTCGCATCTGCGATATACATGATATATGTTCAAGAAGCCCATTTCCTGTCCCTGCTCAACCCTCTGGCTGTGCCTCTTTCAGACTGTTTGATTCTCAGTTAGCCATGGAGGGAGAAATTCATTCCATTCACATTTTGATATAATTCTATAATTCTATCTCATTCACATTTTCTAAACAAATGCATCAAGCAAAGCATAGTTATGCTTCTGAATTCACATTTCTCAGAATTTTGTGATGTAGCTTTAGAACACTAATTATTATTATTATTATTATTATTATTATTATTATTAAATTATACCCCGCCCATCTGGCTGGGTTTCCCCAGCCACTCTGGGTGGCTTCCAACAGAATGTTAAAAGCACAATAAAACATCAAACATTAAAAACTTCCCTAAACAGGGTTGCCTTCAGATGTCTTCTGAAAGTCAGATAGTTGTTTGTTTCTTTGACATCTGACGGGAGGGCATTCCACAGGGCGGGTGCTACTACTGAGAAGGCCCTCTGCCTGGTTCCCTGTAACCTCACTGTATATCATAGGAGGAAATGCACACAAAATGCATAGTCATAAAAAAATGTACAGAAATGCATTTTATTGGATAAAATGGATAATATCTATATCTATCTATATATACCATATTTTTTCGCCTGTAAGACATCCCCATGTATAAGACTATCTTTGGGGACTCAGATTTAAGAAAATGGGAGGAGAGGTGTCTCCATGTATAAGACACCCCTGACGGGAGGGTTGACCACGGCACCCCCAAGCTCATATTTGGGTATGTGCTGGTTGTAATCTGCACCTGGTCACCCAGTGAGACCTTGCTTGCTTGGCTAGCACCACAGCAAGGTTCAACACTGGCTGACTGAGTTTGGGGCAGTCCAAGCCCAGCAGACCCATTCCATCAATGTGGGGTTTGTGGAATGATGAACTGAACCTGGCCCTAATGCTATGCCAACCCTTACCCTGCCTGCTGCTATCAATAAAGATTTGGCCCAATTTTATCCCATCGCTGTTGTACAGTCTGGTTATTTGTCAACTCCCTGGGCAAACACTTACCTTAATCAGATTGGCAAAAGCAACTCCGAGCTAACAGAGAGCAAATGTAAAACAAGCACAACAAACACAGAAGTCCTATGTGCAAGACGGTCCAAGTTTTACCTTCTGTCAGAGCAATAAAATAGCTCACTTAAGTACCTGATTTATAAGGGCCATTTAATGTTAGAACAGTGTGGTAAAGCAAGCATTAGTGACCACACACTAAGATGGTTTAGAGAACCTCCAGTAACAGTAAATCTATCTCATTATGACTACAACTGAGGTGAAGCAGTTAGAAAATATTATTTTGCTCCAGTTCAGCCAGATGTTTTTAAAGCTCCTGCCTTTAATGTTAGGAAATGACTTTTTAGAGAGTGTTTTCCAAAATATCAGGGAGATATAGGGGGAAAGGCAAATCATGACAGCAACACCAATAGTAAGTGCTGTTATTGTGATTATGATGGACTCTCCAGAATCCAGTGATGCTGCTACACACATGCGAAGTTTTACTGGGTGTGTGTTGCCGGTTTTCTCTCTCTCCTGTCTGCAGTTCCTTTTACTGTATGGGGAAACTGGTCCAAATACATCTTCAAAACTCAGGAAGAGCTTTGTACATGAGCTGTAGTAGGAAGGGGCCTGCTGAAAAAACCCTGCATATGGGCAGAGGAATGGATGCAGGATGCAGCCATTTGCACTGCAGCCATTACTAATACTTGTAACAGTAATCTTTTATTGCTTAAAACATAACTGCTCATCCGCCACCCCATAGCATAATTTTGGCCACAACTTTATTAAAATACAAATTTGAGAGTGGTTGCTTAGGCATTGGTTGCAACTATCTGCCCCCACCATGGGGGACAGACTGACATTCCGCACGATGCGAAAGTCAGAATAGGGGAATACACTTGGGGGTTACGCGGAGCAGGGAACCTGCCCTCACCCCAAATGCAACCAGGAGCTCATTGCTATGGCCCGAGCCCCCTTGACAGGGTGGACAAGCAATAGTTAGCCCCTGGTTCCTTTAACGGAATCCCTGCAGCAGCAGCATTAGAGGGGCAGGCACAGCCAATCCATGCCCCTCACCCAACCAAACCATAAACCAATGCCTAACCGCCAACCTTACAAGTTGTGATGATTTGCTACGCAGTAGGCAAAAACCAAATGGCCCCAGCCAATCAGCGAGATGGACAAAATTCCTACTGGGCCCCTGCCCCAAAGCAGACGACCCCATGACAGGCATAGCAAGGTCAAAGCGAACAACCCTATTCTAGGGAGGGAGGGACGGGCAATCCGATGCACAGGCAGAAAGAGGAAGCCCTAGCCTTGCGCAAGAAGTTTTAGCATTTCTGGCTGTTCAATCAACAAATGGCAACATTAACTTCTTCCCAACAACAAGGGAAGCCCCAATCGCATCAGTGGCCAACGGTCAATTAGCCCGCCCCCAACTTTGGAGTGTCCTGACGGCCCCCACCGCAACACATGCTCTCCGTGAAGGAGAACATGCTTTGCAACATGGGGACTATAATATTCAAGCAATGACAATAGGGATGAACTAAAGGAGACAGATCTGTGCTTTTTTCGACTCCCTCCCTCGTTTGCTCTTTTCCAACAGGAGCGGCTTATAGCAAGGAGCCTCGTTCTGGAACAAAATTGGCTTGGGAGCCCTTTTGCCCAGTGGTCTAGGTGAGCAACAACTGAGAGCAGAATTCTGCCCACGTCACGCTTGGGAAGAAACTGTCCTGTGGGTCACCACGAGAGAGGGAAGGAGAAGAGGCCTGAAGTGTAGGTGGGTTCAGGCATGACCCAAGACCAGATTCAGCTCAAAAAGGATTTATTGGAACATCAGGAAGAAGAAGAACAAGGACAACCAGGGCCATTTGACCCAGTATATATACCTTAAGCCGGCCCAGCCAAAACACACCCACCGCCTGTGATAGGTTGCCTTAATTAGCAAATCACAACACTGGCCCTATCTCAACAGGGATTGGCAGCCTGCCACCTACGAACAACGCCACTGGAGGTTTTTGGAATCCTCTCTGTCTTTTGTTATGCAAATGAAGCTCATGAGCTCCAGGAGGTCTGAAGGCTCAGGCCTGCATTGCATTCACACATAACAAAGCCTTTATAGGTTCCCTCTACAGAGCTCAGGGTCATTCTTCCTGCCCTCTCACCCTCGAGTTGGAGCCTTTACTGTGCTTTCTGTGTCACCGGTTGACAGGGAATGAAATGGTTTTTTTCCTCCCAACCTGACTGGCACTTCACTGGGTTTTTTCTGCAGTGAAAATGATGGCTTCCTTCTGTTAGGTGAAATAACAATTTGTACAAGGGCAGAAAGGGCATTGGGCAAGATCAACTCAGTAAAAGAGCTCCCCACATAAGGGGCCTATGGGGGGTTGGCCATGGCACCCAAAGCTTGTGTTGGGGTCTCTGCCTGGCTGGTATCCTCACCCTGGTCACCCTGTGAGACTTTGCCAGCTTGGCTTCCACCAGAACAATGTTCAACGCTGGCTGACTCCCAAGAAACAGAATTGACACAGTCCAACCTCAGCTAATTCTGTTCCAGCAGCATCAAGCAGGGGGAATGGTGGACTGATCCTGACCCTACTGCCATCCTAAACATGGCCTGCTGCGGTCAATAAAGATTTGGCCTGTTTTTCATCCCAGTACCGCATGTTTGTTGTTCCACTTGGTCACATAATGTGCCTGCCAGGGCAAATTCAGGTACAGGAACCAAGTGAATGGTACCATGTCCCTTTAACAGTTGTGTGGCTGTCACAGATTGAAGGAAGCCTTTTTCAAACACAGAAATACAGTTATGGGGAAAGTTTTCCTGTTGCATGTCGAGGTCCTCAAATAAAACACAATTCACACAAAATTTTTGTTTAAGGTTTTTGGCATAATTTTTTGGCCACAACTTTATTGATTACAGTATGTGAGTGGTAACTTAAGCATTGGTTTGCGACTATCTGTTCCCACCTAGAGGTAGGAACAGAACTGACATCCGCAAGCCTGCGAAAGTCAATAAGGGAAAACATTTTGGGGAGAGAATAGAGCTGAGTGCCAGGCCCTCACCTCTCCACAAATGCTCCCAGGGGCTCTTGCGTGGCCCTAGCCCCTTGACATGGGTTCGGACAAAAGC